CAGGAACCAAACCACTAGGGCAATCACTTGCTGTCTTCCAGGGGCACACGAGCAGGAAGCTGGACTCAGAAGGGGAACCAGGACTCGAATCAGGGACTTTTAGGCCATGTGGATATTCCACGCACTGTCTTAACCACTGTGCAGAAGGCCTGCACCGAGATTTTGATAGTCATTTGGTTTTTATTTCTGTCCCCTGGCTTGCTCTTTCTCTCATTATCAGTTCTTGAGGCTACCGTTCGTGATCACCACGATGTCGGTAGCTTTCGGGGTCCATACCACCTGTCTGATGTGTGGGCTGATCTCATGCACGGCATCCTGTGGCGATTCCTCACTGTGAGCTGCTTACCTTTCTCAGAACTGCATCTGTGGGACTTCTACACATTCGTGTAGGAAAGTGATTTTCTCGAGAGAACAAAATCTGTGTTTGCTTACTTCACATACCTGGGGGCAACCAAAACCTGGCCCTCTCTACCAGATCATTGGCCTGAGGCTTGCCAATCGGGGCTGCCAATGGGGAAACGCGGCTTATGGTGACACATTCTCAGGAGATATTAGTCTCCCAGCTGACAGCCCAGGCTCAGTGCCAGGGAACAAGACGGCAGCCTTGCTATGGATGAAGCATCATTTTCAGGTCACTCTAGGTGGAGCTCTCAGAAGCCCCCCGTGTGGCGGTGTGGCAGCATCTGTGTCCAGCTCTCCTACCAGATATCCTACTTTGGGTAGACCCTGGACCCAGACTCAAATAACTACACGCAAAGCTCGCTACTGCTGGCAAACCCCCACAGGGTAAAAGGCAGCTTTAGGGTTCCGGCAACTTTCTCCCCTTTGCTAAGTGAACCTCATGTTCACACAGCCTCTGGCTTGCATATTCCTCACTTGTGTTAGTTCCCGGCTTCATTCGAGCAGTTGGCTCAAATGTATTTTACCCAACAATCCAGTTGTTTTCAGTTGGCTGCAGTGGGCACCTCTTTTACCAGAAATTGCATTATTCACATGTGTTAAGATCTTTCCTTCCATGTTCCTAGATTAGACTGACCTGTATTTTTTTCTCATATTAATCCTATAATAAGGTGGAATTCTCCCAGGATGAGTCAGGTAGAGGCTCCCCTGCCCCAGTCCTCCACAACAGTGTGCCTGTGTTGGAGATCATGGGCTCCTGGGGTTTTACACCATTTATCTGCAACCATCTATCCTGGTGTCCTTGGCTGAGCTAGGTGAGGGTGGACTTCTGATGGGTGATTCGGAATCTTCAAGGTCACAAGCTTATTCAGATCTTCTAGCATTGATTTTTTTTTAGCACACTTTTCTAGAAAACTAAATTTTCAAAGGTACTGACATACAGCTGTTCCACTGTCGTCCTTTTTCATTCCTAATGTTAGGGAGGAAGTCAGAGATCAGCCCATGTGTGTGAGGGACCCAAGGAAAGCAAAGCAGCCATGCAGAGGAATGGAGCAGCCTGGGTCGTACACCGGGAAGCCACCCAGTATCTCACACTACAAAGGCGTGCCCATACCCCTCTAACTTTGTAGGTGGTCCCAGCCTCTCCCCTGCTCCAAGGAAGGCACCCCAGGAGAATCCTCTGCTCAGCACCCAGTGGCTTACCCAGCCTGGTGGCCCTGGGCGGGAACACCTTGGGAGGAATTTCACCTGCAGCACACTCAGCAAACCCTTGTCCAGGAGAGGGAGCAGGGGGAGAAGCAGTGGGAAGAACTGGAGCCCGTTCCCTTATGAGCCATGGTCTGGATACAGATGGGCTCTCTGGACTTCGCTGAGGCACTGCCTGGCCTGTCGGGCGTATTCTCGCCATCAACCACATGTCCTTGCCCACCCCAGTCTGAATGGCCAGGCGCCGTCTCTGATTTCGTCTGCAGGGCCCACCCGTGTTGATGATGCCCTACCCGCTGAACCTTGCTACCTTGCTCGCCACTGCTCTTGTCTCATGCCTGAATGCTTTCTTGAGCAAAGACAAGCACCTATCCCACCTATTTCTGCTAACAATAATACTTTTTCTTTATCAGTTTTATTGTTTGGTTACACATGCTTGATTTTCTATTCTTTAAAATTTTCACTATTTAAAAATTGTTTTCTGACTTCTTCCTTTAGGTTTTCTTTGGTGTTCCCATTTCTGGTTTCCTGAGCCAAACTTACCCACTTACTTTTTGTATTCCTTGTTATTTTATAAAGACACAACAAGTGGGTCACTTTAATAAGATCCTACAAGTTCTGATGAATTCTTTGTCAAGCAGTTCCAAATGTCTTGAAATTTCAATATGACTGCCTCTTCAACCTATGAGTTACTTAGGAGAGCATTTTAAAAAGTTTCCAAGTACATTTATTTAAAAATTATATCTTTTAAAATTATTTATTTGAGAGGGAGAGGGGAGGGGAAAGGGGAGAGAGGACAGGAGGGGAAGTGAAGGAAGGGAGGGGAGGAGAAAGGAGGGGAGAGGGAGAGAAACACTTGCTCCCATTGGCTGGTTCACTCCCACAAGTTTGCAATGGCTGGAGCTGAGCCTGGACCAGGGCCACAGCTGGGAGGTGGGAACTCAATTCAGTCTCCAACCTGGGGTGGCAGGGACCCAATTACTTGAGCCATCACTGCTGTCTCCCAGGGTCTGCTTCATTTTTTTTTTCAAACTTGCATTGAGGAAGGGAAATGTATCTGTAAATATCTTCTTTCAAAAATGGCTGAGACTTCCTTTGTGATCTCATATGTGGTCAGTTCTTGAAAATGTTCCATGTGTACTTGAAAGGAATATATATATATCTTACTCCCTTGGTATAAGGGTTCTTTTGATCTATTACATAAAGTTTAAATTTGGTTTTCAAAGCTTCCACATTCTCACTAATGTTTCTGTCTGCTTGATCTATGAGTTTCTGCAGCTGGTTTAAAATTTCCCACTCAGGCTGCAGATGTGTCAGTTGGGCCTTTCATTTTTTTCAGGCTCTTCTTTTGGTTATAGCGTTTGTACATTGTTAGGTATCTAGTTCAACATGGTTTTACTTCTTGGGTATTTTTGTTATTAATAATACTAAAGAAGAATTAACAATTCTTTTTGTTAAATTCTGTTTTCTCTCACATTAACATTGCTTTGATAACTCTTTATCCACCTCTTCGTCTTGGAGCTCTCTGCACAGTGCTTGTCGGTGTGCCCCCTTCAGGCGACACAGAGCTAGTTGTTTAGGCTATTTACATTGATGGTACATACCATTATTTAGATTTTTTTCTATTATTATTTTGGGTTTTCTGAGTATCAGTTTTTCATTGCTTCTGACTGCTTCCTGCCCTGCTACTGCACTGGTAAGTGTCCCCACTCTTCTGCTTGTCTCTGCTTCCGCCCTCCCTTCCTCACCTCCATGCACACAGTGGGGGAGCTGTATAGACACTGCCCGGTTACTTGCCTAACTTGTATACAGTATCCTTTTCCCACTTTGAAGTGGAACTCCTATTTCCAGCTGGTTCACTGCTGACCAGAATAAAAATGCATTTCCCAGCTTCCTTGGCAACTATATACAGCAAATGGGCTAGAGCTGGAATGTTGTGTGAGATTTCCAGGAAGTCTCTTTAAAAGGGAGGAAGCCCCAGTGGCCACCTTGGACTAGGGGGTCAGAGGCAAAGCCCCAGGACAGGAGAGCAGAAAGACAGAAGGCACCTGGGTCCCCTGCAGCCCTGGCACCAGCCCTGGCATGCCTTCTCTGGCACTTCACTTACAGGAGGGAAATGAATGTCTTTCTTGCTGAAGTCACTAATTTGGGGATCTCTTTTATTAGAAGCTAAATGCAATTCCTGATCCAGAAATTATAGAAGGCTCTAGAATTTTTTTTTAAGCCACAGTTAACTACCAGCTTTAGAAAACAGAAGAACGATTCTTTTTTCTAGTTAAGTAAACGTTGGAAAACCTCAGCATTCAATTCCGTTCCCTGTTTTGCCTGCCTTCTGGGCTCACGCTGGTTCTTGCTGGGTGAGGCGGGTTAACGGTGATACGCAGAGAAGCTGAGATATGGAGGGAAGGCCCTCACAGGTACTCCAGTCTTTGGCGCCGGTGTGCTTTTGGCCGCCTTTCTGGGGTGTGAGCTGACAAAGCTGACATACAGAGCCACGGGCCGTCACCTGAGGCCAGAGTCGTGAACAGAAATAGAAAGCTACTCAGCAAATGCGTCCTTATGGCTGCTGCCTCATTTATTCTCAGTGAAGTAACCAGAAACGCTATCGATGTGAATTCTTAGAGAGGAAGCAGATTTTTTTTTTACAATGGGTAATAACGAAGAAGAAAATGTATCAGAAGTGCAACAGAAGAGAAAGGTAAAAATGAAGGAACTAAAAATAATGAGTCCCAGGGTGCTGCCTAATTTATCACACTTGTCAACAGCAGCAGTTAAGGGTCGAAATCTGTTCTTAAAGAAGAAAATAAAAAAAGGAAACAGACTATAGTTAATCAAACAGCATTAGACCTCAAAGGAACAATAAAAAGCAGAAATAACTGTCAACAATACAGATTTCTATTTCCACTGTTTAAAACAGCCCAAGGACAACACTTACACACCAAACTTTCTTATAAAAGTCTCTTTTGGCCATTTATCTTCAAACACAATATGTGGGTGGCTCATTATTCCAATTTAACTTGTTTTGTTTTTGTTTTTTCCATGCCCTGTCATCAGCACAGGCCCAAAGTTCATTTTGCCAGGCACGCTAGACCTCATGTGTTCTTAAAATCTCATTAGGATTTTCCCCTTGACCACGACAGTGGAATAAACAGCTCAAATTTAAGAAAAGCATTCGGCTGAGACATAAACAGTTGTTCTACCCAGGCAATTTTAAGGAAAAGCAAAAAGAGCAAAGAAAAGCAGGAATGAAAATTGTGTAACATCTACTTTATACTGTGTTTTTGGTTTACCTAAATTATCCAAAAAGCAAATTGTACACATTCTCTGTAATGAAACACACATCAAGAGGGACATCTGTAAGTTAAAATGGGTTTTTAAGAAAAGGAAATAATTACCTTTGACGCAAGGTTGTCAACCAGTGCAATCATGGAGTTCTTGAACAAGGTGGCAGCAGTCAGTGGGCGCTTGGTCACCTCTGTTATGCTCAGTTTGCCTTCCGGCCACATGTTCTTCAGTACCGGATTTGAACTGAGAGGCACAGAGAGAACAATTCAGATGTCACATTCAAATAAACTGGGAAAAAAGCCCCAAACTCTCCTGTTGGACTCTATCCTGAAACTCACAACAAGACTGCAGAAGGAACTCGCAGAGGGCCTTTCTGTTTCTTTCTTGGTAAAATTATTCCACCCAGAAGAATTATGCTCGAAGTGCCATGACCTAACTGCTTTGCCAATCAAGAATTTTCCAAGCTGTAGCACAATAAAAAATTCATAAGTATTTATTTATCTATTTGAAAGGCAGGGTAGGGGGAGAGGGAGTTAGCTCTTCTATCCACTGTTCACTCCCCCCATGTCCGCAACAGCTAGGACTGGGCCAGAATCAAGTTAAGGAGCCAGGAACTCCATCTGGGTCTCCCACATGGGTGGCAGGGGCTCAAGCACTTGAGCTGTTACCCACCGCCTCCCAGGTGCTTCAGCAGGACTTGAGCCCAGGGATTTGGATGTGGGATGTGGGCGTCCCAAGTGGAGATTATCCTGTTGTGCCACAACACCTGCCTCTAAAAAGCCATTAAACTTCTGTAAAACAATATATACATGAATAACTGGGACCATTATGGTTAATAGGGCTGTTTTAATATATCTGAGCATAAAACTAATTGGTTTTGTGTTGGCTAAAATGTGAGGACTAACCATTAGTTGGAAAAACGGCATTCAAGGTCACGGCAGAACACTTGGAAATGGAAACATTCTTAATTAAAATAAATATTCATGCAGAATGGGTAACACCATAAGAAGCCAGCTGTTTATAAAAATCCAGACAGGGTTTAAAGTAACCACTCCTGTATGTCTAATAAGGCCCTTTACACTGTAGCTGCATGGCTGAGTACACTGACAGGCAGCACTGGAAGCTGCAATATTTTATTGATGTGACACCAAAATTCTTGTACTCTAATTCTCAAAATGCACTTCAGGTCAACTCTCAACTTAAAAATTGTATATTTGTTGGTACATGCTCAATCGGACTTACCCCAAATGGTAGAGTTAGAAATGTGCCAGGGGATTCCGATTCAATCCCATCAAGGTGGCATGTACCAATGCCATCTCACTAGTCCAAGTGATCAATTTCTGTTCACAATTGATCATAATGATAGGACTAAGAATCAAAGGGATCACATAAACAAGACTAGTGTCTGCAAATACTAACTGATAGAATAAAAAAGGGAGAGAACGATCCAACATGGGAAGTGGGATACACAGCAGACTCATAGAATGGCAGATGTCCTAAACAGCACTCTGGCCTCAGAATCAGCCATTAAGGCATTTGGATCTGGCTAAAAAGCCCATAAGAGTATTTCAGGCATGGAAAGCCAAGACACTGTGGCAAAAACAAACAAACAAACAAACAAACAAACAAAAAAAAACCCAACAATAACAACAACCACCACCCACACACCACAAAACAACAACCAACCAACCAACCAACCAACCTAAATGAAAGATCTCTGCAAGTGAGATCCCAGTGGAAAGAACGGGGCCATCAAAGAAGGAGGTACCTTTCTCTGAAGGGAGGAGAGAACTTCCACTTTGACTATGACCTTGTTTAAATATGATCAGAGTCGGCGAACTCAAAAGGCCTCCATAGCCTTGGCAACTCATGACTAGAGCCTAGGGTGATTACTGACACCATAAACAAGAGTGTCAATTTGTTAAGTCAACAACAGGAGTCACTGTGCACTTACTCCTCATGTAGAATCTCTGTCCTTAATGTGCTGTACATCGTGATTTAATGCTATAACTAGTACTGAAACAGTATTTTTCACTTTGTGTTTCTGTGTGGGTGCAAACTGTTGAAAGCTTTACTTAATATATGCTAAATTGGTCTTCTGTATATAAAGAGAATTGAAAATGAATTTTGATGTGAATGGAATGGGAGAGGGAGCAGGAGAGGGGAGGGTTGCGGGTGGGAGGGAAGTTATGGGGGGGAAGCCATTGTAATCCATAAGCTGTACTTTGGAAATTTATATTTATTAAATAAAAGTTAAAAAAAAAGTTGTATATTTGGGGCCAGTGCTGTGGTGCAGTGGGTTAAAGCCCTGGCCTGAAGTGCCGGCATTCCATATGGGTGCCAGTTCTAGTCCTAGTTGCTCCTCTTCCTATCCAGCTCTCTGCTATGGCCTGAGAAAACAGTAGAAGCTGGCCCAAGTCCTTGGGCCCCTGCACCCATGTGGGAGACCTGGAAGAAGCTCCTGGCTCCTGACTCAGACTGGCTCAGCTCCAGCCATTGTGACCATGTCAGGGTGAACCAGCAGATGGAAGACCTCTCTGTCTCTACCCTCTCTGTAACTCTTTCAAATAAATTAAAACAAATATTTAAATAAATAAATAAATAAAAATTGTATATTCACTATTTGGCTTATTGAGATAGTTTTAAAAACGTGTGGTGACCTCAACTGTGATTTTCTGTTTCATTTTGGGTGTTTTTTATTTTAAAGTAATTGGAGCTTGAAATGTTGCTTGTTTCCTGGAAACTTTTCTCCTGCCACAAATTTTTCTCTATAAAAATTGGGGGTTGAAAAGAGAAATGAATTCACACAGACATGCATTGCTAATGTGCTCGCTCCTGCCCAACTGCCATTTTGCCCACTTTTCTTTGCTTTGCATAAAAATGAGAAAATTGAGTTGGTTCCCCAAAGCACCCACTAAATTCCTGTACACATAAATACTTAAAGTAATACCTGCAATATGAAAGAATAGATGACAACAGAGGAGAGCAGATAAGTGGTGGCATGAGGACTAACTTGGACTGATTGGGCATAGTGGGTAAAGCTGTCATCTGTAGTGCCAGCATCCCATATGGGCACTGATTCAACACCCGGCTGCTCCACTTCCAATCCAGCTCTCTGCTATGGCCTGGGAAAGCACTGCAAGATGACCCAAGTCCTTGGGCCCCTCCACCTGCATGGGAGACCCAGAAGAAACTCCTGGCTTCTGGTTTCGGATCGGCTCAGCTCTGGCTTTTCTGGTCATCTGGGGAGCAAACCAGCAGATGGAAGACCTCTCTCCCCTTCTTTCTCTGCCTCTGCCTCTCTGCAGCTCTGCCTTTTGAATAAATAAATAAATCTTTAAAAACTAAAATATCAGAGCCCTTTTCTGAAAGGGGAAACTCATCCAGAAAACCAGTTTGCATAAAAGCAGGCAGATTTTTTTTTTAAATTTATTTATTTACTTGAAAGGCAGAGTTACAGAGAGGCAGAGGAAGAGGCAGAGGCAGAGAGAGAGAGGTGTTCCATCTTCTGGTTCGCTACTCAAATGGCTGCAACAGCTGGAGCTGGGCCAATCTGAAGCCACGAGCCAGGAGCTTCTTCAGCGTCTCCCAAGTGAGTTCAGGTGCTCAAGGATTAGGGTCATCTTCCTCTGTGTTCCCAGGCCATAGCAGAGAGCTGGATCAGAAGTGGAACAGCCGGGTCTTGAGCCACGCTCATACGGGATGACCAGCTCTATCAGGTGGCGGCTTTACCCACTACGCCACAGCACCAGCCCCTAAAAGCAGGCAGATCTTGTCTGGCTAAGGAGACAGTGGTAAAGTGTAAAAGTCTGTGCACCTGCTATGGCACCTGCTTGCTCCTTTCCTGCCTCCATTTATTCACACGTATGTACACAGACACACGTATGCTACACAGAGAGACCTCCAGAGATCATATCGACACACACAAAGAAAGAACAGATTCACAGTTTGGGAGGCTGGTTAGCTCTGGAAACATCCAAGAGTGTCCAGAGGTAAAGAGGACCCAACCAGGCACCATGTAGGAGGGTAGTTTTAGCTGGAAGGATTTCAAGACTTCCCCCACACTGGCAAGGGCTTTCAACGTCCAGAGATGCTGGGGGAGGGGTCCTCACAAAGTCCATGGAAAATGAGTTTAATGAAAACAATGCACATGGATTTCAAAGGGCTTTTCTGCACCAAAATAAACTGATGTTTTAATTCCGCTCTTGCTTGAACTTTCTGAGGGCCTCACACTTATGGCAAGGCCATCCCACGTGGTGACATGTGTCAGCCGAGCCCAGTGCCTTCAATGTAGGATTTCTCTGAGGTCCTTTGATCCAATTCACACTTAGTAGGCAACTTGGTACTCTGGATTCCGTGGGGAGCAGCTATCACTGCCAATTAATAGATAAGAATTCTCACTGCCATCTGACTTTCCGAGCAGGTTTTCTACCAAGGAAAAGTGGCCTCTTCAACTGGCACATGCACTGCATCCCAAGTGGCAGTCAGATTTCTCGCTAGAAACCGGCGGTCATGATGCTTCAGCTCTCCTCTGGTCCTGCGAGCTTGGGTGGCGTCAGTGCACCACTGAGAGCTGCAGCCGTGTGCTGAGGGCGGCACCTCTGGGCCATGATGAGGCCATGGAGGTGCCGAGCATCATGCTGGAGGGACACAGCCCCGCAGCACACCTGCAAATGGCCACTGGCCATGCGGTGCAGGTTTTCCAATTTGAGTTTTTTTTTTTTTTTTTTGACAGGCAGAGTGGATAGTGAGAGTGAGAGTGAGAGAGAGAGAGAGAGAGAGAAAGGTCTTCATTCTTGCCGTTGGTTCACCCTCCAATGGCCGCCACGGCTGGCGCGCTGCGGCCGGCGCACCGCACTGATCCGAAGGCAGGAGCCAGGTGCTTCTCCTGGTCTCCCATGAGGTGCAGGGCCCAAGCACCTGGGCCATCCTCCACTGCACTCCCTGGCCATAGCAGAGAGCTGGCCTGGAAGAGGGGCAACTGGGACAGAATCTGGCGCCCTGACCAGGACTAGAACTGGGGGTGCCGATGCCGTAGGCGGAGGATTAGCCTAGTGAGCTGCAGCGCCGGCCTACAGCAAAACATCTTGAAAGCATTGTCTGAGCATGCCTCCACCTCCCTGTTTGCTGTAGTCTCTTGAGCCCTTGTCAACCACACATTCGTCTTCACCTTCCCGTGGAAAGCAGGCTCGTCAAGAGTCTCAGCGATCTCTCCCCGCAGGGCCTCAGGCCGCTCCTGCTGTTGACAGGATTGGGCCCAGGTTATCGCTTTTATCTTCTGAAGGACCTTCCTCTTGGGCTGGCCTCTGTGACTCCCACTTCCCATCTTCCTTCCTTCCATGACGGCACGCATGCTCCCAGTCTTCTTTGCTTGTTCTTCCTTCCTGGCTTGACTGCGAATGTGGGATGAGTCTTTCAACCGCTTTGTTTTGTATCTACACTCCCTCCCTAGATAATCTCATGGAGTCATATGCCTTTACGATCAATGTATGGACAATTGTGAACTCGGGTCTCTAACCCCTCCTTTCCCCTGAGAGCTAGATCCACAGGTGCAACAGCCCGGTCAGGGCTTTCAGCCAGGTGTCCGCCATGCACATCAGACACAACATCCCCAACAACATTCCTGATGTCCACCACCGTATCCTCTGAGCTCTCCACGCTGGGCTCCAGTGTCACCTCTGACTTCTGTCTTTCACCCGCCAGCAAATCTTTCTGCAGTTTGCCTTCCAAGTGTCGCCTGGCCCGACCACTCTCCATCATGGGCTGCTACCACCCCAGGCCCAGCCTGGATGGTTATCCGCCCTCCTAACTGTCTTTCTGTATGTGTTTTACACAGTAGCCATGCCTCACTCTGTTCTTAGCCACACTGGTCCCTTGAAGTCCATACACTCAAGCTCATGCCCACCTTGGGACCTTGGTGCAGCTGCTCCCTCTGCCTGGGATGCTCTCCCCCCAACACCCTGCTCCCTCTGCCTGGGATGCTCTCCTCCCAACACCCCATGGCTCCCTCCCTCCCTCCACTCAGATCTCTGCCCAGATGCCTCTTTAGTAGGAGGCCTTTTCTTCCCTCCCAGTACAGGGTGTCCCTGCCCTTGCTCATCGGTGCCCTTCAATCCCTTACCTACCTTTTGTTTCTGCACAGCACTGTCCTATCTGAAGTCTGTTTCTTGTTTACAATCTGTCACTGCCACCAGACTACACACTCCACGAGGACAGGGGCCCCATCTACATTGTTTTCACGGCACAGAAGAATGTGTGGCTCGAAGGTGTTCAATGCATTTTTGATAATCTTCTGACCAGCTGACAGAGGAGACTGGAATGAGTAACAGTTCTCGAATCCGTGAGACGCTGGCCAACATCTCCCTTCTGTGGGCCTTCTATCCAGGTGGGTTGAGATTTGCTGTCATTTGCCCCCTTGTTTTGCTGTAGCTCTTCCACGTTCTGTAGGTTGTGAGGAGATTCTGCACATTGTCAGGATCTGTGCTCCCTAAGAGGTGAACGCATGGCAGTGGACACTCGAGTATGAAAAAGGGTCGAGCTGGGCCGGAGGCCACCCAACGCCTCTTTATGTGCACGGCCTCGCCTGGGAACCGCTCAGTTCAGCTGTCCCTTGGTGTCCTCAGGGTGCTGGTTCCGGGACCCCTCAGGGACACCAAATTCCACTGATGCTCAAGTGCCTTATATAAACCGGCAAAGCATTTGCATATAACCTACACAATCCTCCCTCAGACTTTAAATAATCTCTAGATCACTTATAATACCAAATATAGTGGAAATGCTATGTAAATGGCTGTCATCCTGTATTGCTTAGGGAATGATGACAAGTAAAGCAGTCTGCACATGCTGGGCACTGATGAAATTTTTTAGAAGTATTTTTATGGTCATGGGTGGTTGAATCTGAATCTCAACCTACAGATACACAGGGCTGAACATGCGTTGTTAGCAGGTGACAGGGCTGGCTGCAGTGAACACAGAAACCAAAGCATCCCGTGGGAAAACAAAGGAAACTGTTAGTAGCAGGACTCTGCCCTAAGTTTACAGATTTTTATGCTCAGAACATCGATTACTGCTTCATTCACTGAGTATGAAAAAGGGCAAGAATATCAGCCAGAAACACTGAAAATCGTCACATAAAAAAACCACGTGCATACACACACATATGTGTGTGTACACCGATGTAACGTGTGTCAGAGAGCTGGGTGTGAAGATGAGCAAACCTCTGATCTTACCTGTTGTACATGAGGCGCTTGAAATCTTGAAACAAAGTATCTTTATTTTTGTCAATAAAACCAATGACAGAATAGCTGTTAGGGAAAAACAACACAGAAAACACATCATTCACCATGCAAGAGCCACATGTAAGCTCTTCTAGACACTGGAAAGCCTCTCCACCGATTATTACGCAAGCGGCCATCTGCACAGCTGAGGCTGCCCGCCTGGTCCACATTCACCCCCTCAGCAGCAGGGACTCTGCCTCTGCTCCTGAAGCAGAGTGAGTACCACAGTCATGATCAAGGTCATCGCTTTCTATGGGTTTACTGCTTACCTCAACAAGACGACTTTTAGAGAGAGAGATCTGTATCTATCATCCAGCATCCCTAAGATAAAAGCAAACCAGCCACACACAGGAACTACCCGTGTCATTTGCAGGGAGGCCAAGCGCCTAGGGATCACTCAGTGTTCAGGGTGGGACAGAGAATCCAAGAAGAACTGCAAAGGACGGTGAGAGTTAGATAAGCCGAGGCAGGAAGGCAGCAGATCACACAGAGACACAGATGCAATGCAGACAGGGGCAGGCACATGCGCAGAATGTGGAAAGAAGATGAGGGGTCTGGGGGAAGGGAGACAGCGAGCTAGGACCACAGGTGGGGAGAGGGAGGGACGGGAGCACCACTGCTGCAGTGACAGGTGATGGAAGGCACTGGGGCTCTGGGTGATTCAGACAGAGACAAGGAGCTTGAGCAAACAGGAACTCTCCATGCAGCCGCTCCCTACGCTTCCACTCCCCTCTCTGCTTGTATTTTCTTCCCTGAGAATCTCACAACAATGTGGACAACTCCCAGATTTCTAACCCTGACCCCTGGCCTTACACACCTCATTTTGCAAGAGAGCTCCTGAGAGCTGTGCCTCCCATAGGCACGTTAAGGTCACTGCATCCAAAAATATTTCTTGGCCTGCCCCAGCCTAGCTCTTCTTCCTAATATTTTCAAGTCACTTTGACTCAACTCCTGAAGTCATCTGACAATCTACTGTCCAACTCACACAATTCAAATTTCAGAGTCCCTTATTCTGGATTGCAAGATTTGTTGGGATCTGATCTCAACCCACTTTTCTAAGTATTTCTACAACTCTGTGCTACATAAAGGATATATGCCAATCAAATGTGCCTCGTTGCTATTTCCAGAATGTTTTTAGCACCATTCCCATTTCTTTCTATGAAAATAATTCCTAGCATCCAAAGACCAACACCAGCCTTCCTGGGCTTATCACACAAAACTAAAAGTATTACACCATTTCCTGGCTCTGAATCCCAGCAACACCTAGTGCTACTTACCTGACAATTATTTGAGACTATCTTTCACTGGGCAGGTGTATGTGTATGTGTGTGTGTCTGTGTGCATGTGCCTGCATGTATTTCCAGTGTATAAATACACACACAACCATATATGTATGTGTGCATCTTAGAAAGGTTTTGTGGGCAAGAACTATACCTTATAAAGCATTGTACACATGGAAGAAGTGCAGGAAAAATCCAAAAAAGCTTAGAGGGGGAAGAAGCCATTGAAGACACTGAACACTAGCAAGAGTTCTGGAAACTTAGTGTCTCATTTCTTCCGCAGACTTGCAATGTGACCTGGATAAGAACTTCACTCATTCTGCACAAGCTTCTCCACCAGTGAAACAAGAGGATTCTCTTAACTCATCCCGAAGCCCCTGTCTAGCTCTGTGTTTACGGAACTCTGAGTTGCTACAAGGGCCTGTTACGCGAGGCTCGGGTTTCCAAGGGGAGACACCTATCTGGGGCGGCCCTCCTCTCTTCAGTATTCTGCAGCTAGGAAAGGAGCAGAACAAGTGGAAGACAGTGCCATTTCAGCACCGGTGGCTGGACCGACAGATGGAGCCACATTATCTTATGATTCTAGAGTTTTAACTTAAACCAAGGACGGCTATTAAAATCCCTGCAACCATCCTCTCGGCGTGCACAGAGATGATCTCTAGTTTTGCTTGTTTATTCTTGCCCCCCCCTGTAATGGGTTATAAGAAAAGAATTCCTAATGCATGAAAATAAGGGAGAGAGTTCTCCAGACAGTAAGGTGAGGAGTGGTGCTCGATGGACAAACAGTGAGAGCCACCAACTAGAGTGGGCTGGAGAGCGTCTGCCTCCCAAAAGACCCCCACCAAGTTCCCCGGAACTGGGAAAACGCCGCCTCGCACAGTACGAGATGTGATCTTGGCAAGGCTCTTGAGGGGCAGGCTCTTGAGCCTGTTTGATTCAGGGGCACCGACTACTGTTAGGTGCGTCCTTGTGAGTCGGAGGCAGAGTAACACAGACACGGGCCGAGGGACACCCAGAGCCGCCTGCGGCTGCTCCTCTAAGGAAGCCTCAGAGGACGTGTGGCCTCCAGGACCGTGAAAGATCAGGTGATTTGTTACAACAGCCTGAGAACCTAACACACCAAGGTCACCAAATGCTTTTTGTTGTTATCATCAACTTCTGCTTCTATTGTATTACAATCAGAAAATGTAGTTGGAAAGAATTTTGTGGGGTGAGTGTTTGGTACAGTGGTTAAGATGCTGCTTGCGACACCTGCATCCCATATTGGAGTGTCTGGATTCGAGTTCTGGCTCCACTCCCAAGTCTAGCTTCCTGCTGATCCATGTCCTGGGAGGCAGCTGGGATGGTTCCAGTTCCTGGGCCCCTGCCACCCACGTGGCAGACCCAGAAGAAGCTCCTGGCTCTGGCCTGGCCCGTCCTAGACCATGTGGCCATTTGGGGGAGTGAACCAGTGGATGGAAGACCTCTCTTTCTGTCTCTCCTCTCTCTCTCTCTAACTCTGCCTTGTAAATAAATAACTCAATCGTAAGAAGATTGAGTTAAAATAATTTTGCTTCTTTTTGAGAACCAACACGGGAAAACTGGATTTTTCTCAGGTAGGCAGTGAGCCAACCGCTTGCAGTGCTGCTCCCACGGGCGACCTTTCCTGCCTGCTCTCTCCCCTGCAGCCCTCCCTCTTCCTGCCCCTCCCCCACTCACTGCCCTGACCACCTCTGTTACTTTTAGGGCTCAGCACAGATGCCAATTCCTCCAGCAAGACTTCTCCCTATTCCATGCCCTGGGCTAATTACTCTTCCTCCCCATTCCCACAATGCCTTGTGCTCCTCTCCTTTAACCCTTTCCATTCTTCATTGTGATGATCTCTGTTGTACCTGCTTGTATCCTCCACTAGAATGCTAGCTGCTTCTGGCCAAGCCCCATCACGTCCACCTTTTTATCCCAGCTCTTCCATGCTTTACTGAACCATCCGCTGATTTCTACTGACTACCAACTATGCCAGGAACTGTGCCTGGGCACAGAGTGATTGCTCAATACATGTCTGAAAAGCCAAAGATGAATGAAGCTATGCTGATACTTTTAAATGAAAGATTAAAATACACTGACATTCGAAATGACCTAAAAATGCAAATGAACAGGAAAACAATGTACATTTTCTCTGGTTTTATTTTCTGAAGCAGGCATGCATGCAACCTGTCATGTTAGGTACTGAAGTAAGATACTCACACAACATCACCGGCATAATGTCGAATTCGAAAATCTCGATCAAACTCCAGAATTTTGTCCGAGGCACAGAGCTAAGAAATCAAGAAGGGGATTGTTTTAAAAATAGTCCTTTTCAACCTTCCTAAAAATAGATTCCAACTGAATATGATAATGATGTCACAAATCATGACATCATGAATGAAATCACAGTGTGTGCTTGATTTGCATTACATTGATTAAATATCTGCTTTATGTGGTCAAGACTGAACTTCCACCAGAAATCCACGCAGCTAGGGCACATTTCCCAGCCACTCTTGCAGTTGGATATGGACATGAAACCAAGATCCAGGCAATGAAGTGAAGTAAGGCTATCCCAGGCCTTGCAGATTAAAATGGACGATCCTGGCATTTTTTTTTTTTTTTTTTTTTTTGGACAGGCAGAGTTAGACAGTGAGAGAGAAACAGAGAGAAAGGTCTTCCTTCCATTGGTTCACCCACCAAATGGCTGCCACGGCCGGCGCGCTGCACTGATCTGAGGCCAGGAGCCAGGTGCTTCCTCCTGGTCTCTCATATTTATTCATGCAGGTGCAGGGCCCAAGCACCTGGGCCATCCTCCACTGCCTTCCCGGGCCACAGCAGAGAGCTGGATTGGAAGAGGAGCAACCGGGACAGAACCAGCATGCCAACCAGAACTAGAACCTGGAGTACCAGCACCACAGGTGGAGGATTAGTCTTATTGAGCCACGGCGCTGGCCAGGAGCACCATATTTTAAAACCTTTTTTCTTTTAATTCAATTTAAAAAATTATTTGAAATGCATAGTGACAGAGAGAGAAGAACAGAGAGAGAAAGAGATCTCACATTTATTGATTCACTCCCCAAATGGCTACAACAGCTGGGTTTGGGGCAGGCCAAAGCCAGGAGCCAGAATTCCATCTGGGTCTCCCACATGGGTAGCAGGGGCCCAAGTACTTGGGCCATCCCCACTGCTTTCCCAGGTACATTATCAGGGAGCTGGATCAGAAGTGGAGCTGGATCAAAAGTGGAGCAGCCAGGACTTGAACCAGCCATCCAATATGGGATGTAGGTGTCTTAAGTGGCGATTGTCCCTAATGTGCCTCAACACCAGCCCCAGGGAACACCATACTGAGGGCTTACTATCTGCTAGGCACATCCATCTCATTCAATCCTCACATTTAAGGAAAAACATTTCCATCCCTCTTTTATGTACATGAAAATGGAGGCTCAAAGAGGTTACGTGACTGGCCCAGGATCACACAGCTACTAAGTGGCAGTCCTAGGGAAAGATGATGGATGGAACGGACTGTGAATGATCACCTGGCTCATCTGCCTGCCAAACTGGGACTCCTGTTCGGGTCCATCATTGCACAGAAGTTCAATTCCTGCAGCTGTTTCTCAGAGAAGAGGAAAGGCCTGGTGGGGGGGGTCCCCATCACCTCCTGCACCTTTCTTCGTTACAGAAGCACAGACACTTCGTCGGCCTGTGGCAGGCACTCAGGACTTACACAGCACTGAGTGCAGCACTGCACGGAGACCACTCGGGATCTCCTGTTAGATGGCAGGGCCGCACCAGGACAGTGGGTTCTCCACGGTGGCTGACGCAATATTTCATCAACTGGGGAAGGAAGTAAGCACAGGCAATTAAAGCCAGATTTTCTGAGGTTCGAATCCTGGCTCTGCCATCATCGAGTCACTGTCTCCTTTTACCCTTCATTTAACCTTTAGAGGATTGTTCTAAGGGTTAAATAACCGTGGGGACCCAAGCATCTAACATACAGAGAGGTCTCCAAAACATTTAATTCCTCTTTTATGAAACCCCTTTATTTATAAACCCCACAAAGGAAATGGACTTAAGAGGTATCTTAAATATAAGATTCTTACATGTGGATACTGCAAACTCTCAGCTAAATTGAATGCAGGACAATTTAGATTCTTCTTTACTTTTTTGTAATAACAGCTACATACTTATCAAACTTTTCATGATAATAATATTTAAAGATAATAATTGTATGGTTTAATGGCTCATTTGCATGCCCTCCCATGGTGTCTAGTGTATAAGGAAACAGTTTTGCACCCAAATGAAACAACCATGACAAGCCAGAACCTCTTATTTAATATTCCAGTGATGGCTAGTTCATCAGTAACCAGTAGCAAATGATGACTTCTGGCTCAACACACAGGATAATACATTATTTAACAAAAAGGTGCATTGTGATTGAAATATCCCAGCAGCTTGGTTATTTCATTTCTTTCCGTCATTAGGCAAAAGTCCCAGAAAAGCACACATTTAAAATCCTTATCTCAGTACTTATCCCAGGAATAGCAAAATAAAGGGCTATTTGATCTGAGTTGGGAAATCTGGACCCTCATTATGTTAAAAAAGAAAAAGGGGGGGCCATCTCCACATAAATGACTGCTTAGCACTTCCCATCAAGATCAGTAGCAGATGCTTCAAGTCCTAAGTACAGTTGCTCCTAAGAATGAGTTCATTTTTTAAAAAAGATTTATTTATTTATTTGAAGGTCAGAGTTACAGAGAGGGAGGGAGGGAGGGAGAGGGAGAGGAGAGAGGAGAGAGGAGAGAGGAGCGAGGAGAGAGAGAGAGAGAGAGAGAGAGAAAGAGAGAAAGAGAGATCTTCCATCTGTTGGTTCACTTCCCAAATAGCTGAAATGGCCAGGCCAAAGCCAGGAGCCAGGAGCCAGGAGCCGGGAGCTCCTTCCAGGTCTTAACACATGGTAGCAGGAACCCAAACACTTGGGCCATTTTCTGCTGCTGTCCCCAGGTTATTAGCAGGGAGCTAGATCAGAAGTGGAGCAGCCAGGATGTGAACCAGCACCTGTATGGGATGCTGGTGTTGTAGGAGGTGACTTGAACTGCTACACCAGCCCCAGGAATGAGTTTTTGCCTCAACACAGCTGATGGACAGATTTAATGCAGTTCTATAGATGGCCAATGTGAAAGATATCAAAATGAGGTGGTTTGGATTTCTCCTGTGGGACTCAGAGCTACTTAATTACATAAGATTTATTTGGTCCTACTGAGGCCAGTTCACTCCAACTTTACAAACATTGATTGAGCGTCTGTCACACAATGCCAGGCAAGTGTCCAAAACCTGTGCTGCGACTGCAGGGGGCACTTGCACATCATCCCTCAAAAACGGGACATCTGCCTGTGCGGGCAGACCAGCTTGACACAGCATCCCTCTCAGTTACTTGGGCTGCTTCTCACTGGGCTCACCTCTCTGTCCCCAGCACGAGGGGTTGCCCCTAGAAAATGAGATGCATTTATTGAGTGTTGTATCAATGGGGGATGACAGCTCCAAACCAGCACCCTAATGTCAAAGGTCAGACTGCAGTGTCTGAAAGGGCACTTGGGGCAGGACTGCAAGTCAGTCCTCAGCAATAGACCAGTTAGAGTATTTTAGAAAGAACTGGTCTTGGATGAGTGTCAGCCAGTAACCTAGTTCCTGATGACTTCTCACTGGTTAATTGTGGACTCTCTCTGTTCTGATGACATAATTTCAAAAAAGGCAAGGTTAGAATACGGATCTATGCATGCCAAAAAAAAAAAAAAAAAAAAAAAAGGCAGCGTGTCGCAGATGTATATGGAACTGCAGAGAAGAAGAAATGCTTGCCCCTCTCTTATTGGAGCTGAAGGAGCAGGGGTCCTGCTCTCCCTACCGCTATGGCTGCTGGGTGCACAGGCATCTGTAGGAAGTGCTGGGTGACAACAGAACTCCCTTCCCTAACACAGATTCCTGGAATCGATGCAGTAGCAGACATATTATATGGAAGGCATGGCACAGAGGTCTGATAACCACAACTGCCACCAACTATTGCAGAAATGTATCTGTCTGTGACAGTTTCAGATGTGAAAAATGGAGAATTAAAAGGAGAGCCATTTATTTAAGGAATGAGTTTCCCTGGAACAACCAGAATTACAACTACAATTTCTTTGTTGTCAAGAAAATCAACAACCCTGAAGAACTGTGGCAGAGCAAACACCACATTTTGCAAACCAGGATTACAGGAGAAACAAAAACAAAAACAAAAACCTCAAGGACAAAAGCCATCTTCTGTGCCAGAATCATCAGATGCAGGAGTAAAATCCTAGCACATGAACAGGGACTCTGCACCTATTGGTTATAAATGACATCATGCTTTCAGAAGAATCATGTTCATTTTGCCTATTTCCAGCAAATTGGATAGTCTGGAGCTCCCTCTCCTGGCCGTTAGGATTTTTGTTGGTGCTGTCATACTACAAGCCCAAGGCAGAATTTATCCACAGCAATAAATCACTTACTGGGTGTTTATGGCCTTCCTTATTTGAGTGGACAGTCTTTGCATCCAACATGCACAGTCCTTTAACTCCTCAACAATGAAGAAAATCTCACAGATCAAAATGAGAGGAAGGTCTTGTGGAATAAGTTACCTTTCGGCTAGAAAAATGCCCGTGCTTGGCCAATTTACTGTTGAGCGCTTCCAGGAATATCTGGTCCGTGACTCTGCCGACATTCACGCAGGCGTCGTCCAGGATCGCAATGACCCCCTTGTGCTGCTGCTCCACCAGGTCCACGATGATCTGGTTGTTGAAGTAGTCGATCTGCAGACGCAAGGAGGAAGAGAGGGGACAGTGATCTGACGGTGCCTCTGTCTTCATGGTTCAGCCAAAGTTCCCTGGGCCCAGGCATGTGACTGACATCAGCTAGCTCGCATCAGATGAGCACGTGCTCCAACAGGGTTGTGTGGTTCCACCATCACATTTATAACATGAAGCACTTTATCTGAGATGGGTGTAGCCCAAGGCAAGAATTACAAGGAAGACAACATTTCTCCCATTACCAATTATTGTTTAATCCCGTCTGTGTATCCCACACCCATCTTATTCTCAATCTCCAAATCTGCTTACTGTTTTTTTAAGATTTTACTTGAAAGTCACAGTTACACACACACACACACACACACACACACAGGTTTTCCATCTGCTGGTTCACTCCCCAAATGGCTGCAACGGCTGGAGCTGTGCCAATCCAAAGCCAGGAGCCTGGAGCTTCTTCCAGGTCTCCCACGTGGGTGCAGGGGTCCAAGGACTTGGGCCATCCTCTACTGCTTTCCTAGGCTATAGCAGAGAGCTAGATAGGAAATGGAGCAGCCAGGACTTGAACTGGCGCCCATATGGGATGCCAGCACTGTAAGCAGCAGCTTTACCCCCATGCCACATCGCCAGCCCCAAATCTGTTTACTGTTAACCACAGGACCTAGCTTCCATTAACTACCAACAGATAACCTTAAATTACTATTTGATACAATGCTTGATAATGAAGTTAGGGTACTACCCAGAACCTGTGTGTTTTTTTTATGTGACTAAAATGCAAAACAGCATTTCCTCTTGTTTTCTGAAAGTTACAAAGCCTGAGTCTGAGTGTTGACATTTTTCTGGGTATGATATAAAACTATTAGTTCTGAGGCACAGCTTTCATTTACTTCCATGAATGGATGAAGTTGCACCTTACTCTGGCATTTTAGCAGCTGCTACACCTGATTATTAGGAAGGTGCTCTTGCACACCCGAGAGCAGGCACAGAGAAGGTACACGCCAGGAAGTGGCGCACCTCACCCCCTTTTCTTCCAACCCCATCTCACGCGGGAGGCACCTGGGTGAGCCCTGTTTCCTTACCGTGGAGGTCCCCGGTATTCTTGGCGCGTGTTTTACAGCCCAGGCCTGGTGCCAGTTATCTGTGGCTTTCTTCCCCCTTCCTAGTGCTGAGAAGCCTGCAAACTGGGCCACGTTGACTTTCTTCTGTCTACTTTTCCATTTTGTCTAAATTGGTTAATTCTGGATTGGGCATCATTTTGCAATTTGGCAGTCTCAGAGACATTCTGGACCACTGAGGACTGCTTGAAGCTGCCAGTGGGGAGAGGCCATGGGGGTGGCTACACACCCCTTGCTGCACAGGACAGTCCTGTGAGAGGCACCTGCCCCAAATTCCAAAGATGCTGAGGTACACAAGCCTTGGTCTGTGCATTTACTTTTATTGTATTTATTACATTTCTAATCAGGGTGAAAAATTATCTCTGTCTTTGGAAAAAGTCCTTAAAAAAATTTCAAGAGGCAGGAAGTCCAAACTGATTAACAGCTGATATCTTAGACTTTGGAACTATGGAATTAAAGACCAAGTCTTTGTTCCAGTGACAAAAGAATACCTTTCCTAAAATTGTATCACTAAAAGTCATCTCAGCTGAAGATTCTAATTGCTTTTAGTTTGTATGTTTTTAAATTTTTTATATTAACAATAACTGTACATACTTAGGAGCTACATTTGACATTTCAACATCTGTACACAATGTATACCAGTCAAATGGACATCTCTCCTTCTTTGAAATTACTTTAAGATTGGAGGCTTGGCACTTCTGTTTGTTCATACAATACCTACTAGGTTATCGTGAAACACTCCCCCCACTATGCTGTGTAACACTAGGAGCTTACTCCTTTGATCTAACTCTGATTTGTTTAATGTTGCTTCAAACATCACTGAAAGCCACAGCTTTCAAACCAGGTTCTTGCAGGAACTTGGCACTCCCAGGAGGTTTCTAGGAGATATAGGGAGCTGGGAGAGAAGGCATGGAGTGGCTTAGGGGCATGGGCTCTGGCCTCCCATTCCCACTCCAATGCAACAAGTTTATGCCACAGCTTTATCAATGATGCCTGTGCAACTCGATATTCTTGAGCAGGATGTCTGAATCACATTTGAACCACACTTTTTATGACTGAATTTGCTATAAAAACCATCTGAGTTTCAGTTATATTGTGCGTTATACACACATTCATTCCTAGAAAGCTTGATAAACTTAATTGAACTTCATTGTAAATGTGCTCAGAGTTCACTTGACTGTCGAGTTCTTGGCAGTTAACAAATGATTTGTAAACTTCGGCAGCAACAGATGTTAAAAGTGAATGAATCAGGGGCCGGCGCTGTGGTGCAGTGGGTTAACGCCCTGGCCTGAAGCACTGGCATCCCATATGGGTGCCAGTTCGAGACCCGGCTGCTCCACTTCCGATCCAGCTCTCTGCTATGGCCTGGGAAAGCAGTAGAGGATGTCCCACGTCTTTGGGCCCCTGCACTCACATGGGAGACCCGGAAGAAGCTCCTGACTCCTGGCTTTGGATTGGCCCAGCTCTGGCTGTTGTGGAGTGAACCTTTGGATGGAAGACCTCACCCCCCAAACCCCTCTCTCTCTCTGCCTCTCCTTCTTTCTGTGTAACTCTGACTTTCAAATAAACAAATAAAAACTTTTTTTTGGCTGGCGCCGCGGCTCAGTAGGCTAATCTTCCGCCTTGCAGCACCGGCACACCGGGTTCTAGTCCTGGTCAGGGCGCCGGATTCTGTCCCGGTTGCCCCTATTCCAGGCCAGCTCTCTGCTGTGGCCAGGGAGTGCAGTGGAGGATGGCCCAGGTGCTTGGGCCCTGCACCCCATGGGAGACCAGGATAAGTACCTGGCTCCTGCCATCGGATCGGCGTGGTGCGCCGGCCGCAGCACACCGGCCGCGGCGGCCATTGGAGGGTGAACCAACGGCAAAGGAAGACCTTTCTCTGTCTCTCTCTCTCACTATCCACTCTGCCTGTCAAAAAAAAAACACTTTTTTTTTTTTACAAAAAGTGAATGAATCAGAGCTATAAGCAGGCATTATGTACCACCAGACACAAGTTCACACACAACACATGAAACACATGGGGGACAATGCACTGGTTCGGCCTAACAAGGAACACGTGGGTCAAGCCAGCAATGCAGTGAGCAAGGCCCAGGCTGTGGGAAATACCACACGGCACACGATTCCTTCTCCTCAACAAAAGATTGCCAAGAACAAAGCAAGTCAGGGACGGAGGAGAAAATTATAGACACGCAGCAGACCCAGCAGTCCTCATAAGACAGCAGCAACTACAGGACAGGTGAGCAGGCGTGAGATGTGAGCACCAGCTGGATACCTGACATGAAGGACTTGGCGACTGGTGAGGTGTGATCAGGGTACTGTGATTACAGGTTTCACCTTTGAGAGAGAGAGAGACTGGAACATTTACAGATGCAACAATGTGATGTTTTAGATTTGCTTCCAGATACTCTGGGGGAAGGAGGAGAGGGGTTGGGGGGATACAGAGATAACCCTGGCAGTCTACTGGTAACTGCTGAAGCTGAGGAATGGCAACATAAGTACATTACACTATAATCCCTCATTCTGCGCTTGAAATGGTCCATAATAAAAAGATTTAGGGGCCTGCACTGTGGCGTAGCATGAAGAGCCACCACCTGCAGTGCCAGTATCTCATGTGGGCACTGGTTCAAGTCCCAGCTGCTCCACTTCCGAACCAGCTCCCTGCAAATGAGTCTGGGAAAGCAGCAGAAGATGGCCCAAGTGCTTGGGTCCCTGTTACCCACATGGGAGACCTGGAAGAAGCTCCTGGCTCCTGGCTTCAGCCTGGCCCAGGCCTGGCTATTGCGGCTATTTGTGGAGTGAGCCAATAGACAGAAGAGCTCCTTTCACTCTCAATCTGTCTCTGTAACTGTGGATAGCAGGGATCCAGCCACTTGAGTCATCACTTACCTCCTTCCTTTCAGGGTCTCATTAAGAACAAGCTAGAACTGAGAGCCAGAGCTGAGATGCTAACAGAGGCACTCTGACATGGGACATGGTGTCTTTACTGCTAGGCCAAACACCTGTCCTGAGGTTTCACCATTTAAATCAAATTGTTGGGACGCACACATGCCATGTCAGAGGGCCAGTGTTGAGTCCTGGCTCTGCTCTCAATTCCAGCTTCCTGGTGATGAGCTCCCTGGGAGGCAGCAGGTGATATATTTGGGTCCCTGCCATCCATGTGGAGCTACAGTTCCATTTCTAGGGAACCAACTGGAACTCCAAATATAAGAGAAAAAGTTGCATCTGTACAATCGTGCATGGGCTCTTTTTCTCATCATCATTCCCTGAACAACACAGTATAACAATTGTGTACTTGGCATTGACGCTGTACTTGCTGTTGTAAATCACCTGCATTTTGTATGAGGGGCTGCACAGTGTGCAGATTTCAGTATCAGAGGGACCCTGGAGCCAGTCTCCCGTGGATATTGATGGCAACTGTACTGGCAGACGATAAAGTCCCACTCAGAAATTTACAGAAACTAATAGGTTTTCCACTGAACAGGTCTATTCTCAAAGTTGTTTAAAAATACAAATTAAACAGGAAAATCACCATGCCTTCTTTCTGCTGTCAGCAGGAGTTCCAGTCACAGGAATCAGATGGACAAGGTGAGCCTGTGAGCTGTGTGTTCCCTGGGGCTTGGGCCTGTGTCCTACCAGACTCCTCTGACAAATACCAAGTTCACCAAGAGCCGCAAGCACAGAGGTGCTACCTGAAGTGTGATGCAAAGGAAACTAAATGGGGGTGACAGCCAACACAAGTGATTTTATGGAAGGATTCAGAAAACATGAACATTAACTGAAGATGATAAAATGCCATTTAGTTTACAAACAAGAAGAGGAAGAACCCAAGGGAAAGAAAGGCAGGGAAAAGAAAACACCAGATTTGGAAGCAAAGTCTAGCCAACTCCAGCCAATCAAGGCAAAAACTGAGTAACACATAAACGACGCCAAACACTTGCGCACAGCTGTGAGGCAGAAGGCCCACGTGGCATCATCAGCCATAGAGTGACAACATCAGGTTCACCGTCTGTAACAACATTTTCTGAGTACCAATGAGGAAATCTATCCCACGTCACAAACCTGAAAATCCACTGTATTACATATTCCAAAAAGGGAAGCTAAGGTTTGGGTGTCTCAAGTACCCAAGAAGATGGAGAGAGGTCACATCATCAAGGACAGGGGAAGCCCCCAAAGGCGTTTGCCGGGCCGTCCACTCACATGCTTCCAAGGGATCCCTTCCCGCTGGTACTCCTCCTGCTCCTGCTTCAGCACCAGCTGGATGAAGAGCTGCTGCAGCTTCTCGTTGCAGTAATTGATGCAGAACTGCTCAAAGCTACAGGAAAAGGAGTGAATGAGGCTCACGGAAACACAGAACAGGCAACGGGGGGTTCTGCGTTTTCTCCACTTTACCTGTTGTTGTCAAAGATTTCGAAGCCATAGATGTCCAGGACACCGATAACCGTGTTTTTCCCGTGGATTGTGGTGTCGTAGTTCTTGACCTCGATAATATCGTTGATGCGAGTAACAATCCAACAGAACAGGCGCTCGTATATTGCCTGCGATGAAACGACACCATAAACTCTTGCCCTCCGGGGAGTGAGTCCTCTGTTTGGATTTGTTATGTTTTAAATTCCTGTCCACCTTTTCCTTAAAGTTTGTCAAAACTGCTATTAGCCTCAAGCAAAACAGTTAGAAGTGCAGGATCATCTATTAAAAGATGACATGATATAGGTACAACTAAAGTGAACGGCCTGGGTCCTTACGAGTATGATTAGTCACACACACATCCTAACACCACTCCACAGGCATGCTTCTGTGCCTGGCTATGTTGGAAATTTGCATACTCCCTCATGTAAGTCCCTTCATAGCTTTGGAGTTCATTTAAATAACTATAAAAAGCTGGGAACTAAGAAGTTATCTTCCACTAAAGCTCCATAAATTCAAAATAACATAAATACTGACTTCTAATGCCAAGTAAAGATCTGAGTCTAAAGGCCAAGGTCTGAAATTCCTTGAGAAGCAGATGTGCACCCGATGCTCGGGGCACCTGTGCCGAGACACACCTGGACGATGGCACCACGCTGGCACGCAGCGTCCGCACACCTGCTTTCAGCAGCCCGTTCCCTTCACCTGTGCACATTGTTTCCAATCCCCATTTCCTGTTAGTCATCAGCCCCCTCCGGTTCTCATGTCAGTCCCCTCAGGTCCTCATGTCAGTCCTATGACTACCAGAGACCTCACGCACCTCTACCTACACACTTCTTCATCCCTCCTAGGGACTTCTTATTCAGCTTCTTGGCATCTCTCAACCGAGTTTCCCAGTCTTTTCTAGAAACATCCTTCTCTCTGGGACTCACGTTATCACCTTTTGCTCTTGTCTCACTGGCGGCTCCTTCTTGGTGATTTCTGGCAAGGTCTCCTCCTCTATCTAACCTCTGAAAGTTGGAGTTCTTCCTGGTCCTTTTCCCTTCACCCTTGAACACCCTGTAAGTCATCTCATCCAGTATTAAATAATGCTAACATAATATGGCTCCTGACATGGTTTGAACAGGATTTGGCTCCCCAAACTCATGCAGACATTTAAACTACTTTGGTTAATGTGACTAATTGATTATATTAATGATTGCGGCTCGAGCATGGAGACTTAATCTAATTATGGCATCTGAGAGGTAGGCCCAGTAGGAGGTTTTAGGTCATGGGGGTGGGTCCTTGGAGGGTGTTCAGGAGGACTGGTTACATAGGCTGGGCATGCTTCCCGGCTCACCAGATGCTTTAGTCAAGGGGCCGCCTGATCTTGGACTGTGAAACTCCAAAATCGTAGCAGAAATAAACCTTCCTGCCCTCCAAGTAGCTCCTCCTCTCTGGTATTTTAGTTAATGTAATGAGAGGCTGACCAACAGCTCCACAGCACGGTGGAGCTCCAGACTGAGACTTGCTTTCTCTCTACCTGACAGTGGCTCTCTGATGTCTCACATCCACTTCAGACTTGTCAAGACTCTCCATCTTTTCACCTTCAGAGATGGTTCCTACCCTTCTTTTATCCATGAATAAATGGCACCACTTAGGAATTAATTCATTCATTCAGCAAGTATTGGCTGAGTACTTACTATGTAAGTTTGTTGAAAATACAGTGCTAGGCAATGTAAATGCAGCCTCAGTCTCCAAGGAGCTTAGGGAATAGAGCAAAGAGAAAAATCACACACACACACACACAGATGCATGGGCTCTACGGGGTACTTGACCCACTCAGTGTTCAGGGGAAGGCTTCTCTGAGAAAGTGACAATTGGCTGAGATCGGAAGGATTGAGGAAGCAGTCACTAGGCCAGAAGGGACAGATCTAATCAGAGGAAACAGCATGTGCAGGGGCCCTGCGTCTGGAAGGAGAAAGGATAAAGATAACGTGGGAGACCTAAGAGAAGGCCGATGTGCTGGGGTGCAGAAAGGAAGCTGGAAGATGGGATGACCGAGGCAGGAGACAGCCAGGAGCCTCAGGTATCAGCCTGCATTTCCTGTCCCCAACCACAGCTCTGTGATTTCATTTTCCCAACAGGTGCCTCTCCAACCATCCGAGCCTCCCCATTCCTGCTGCCTTCCTAGCCCAAGCTGTGACCATCTCTCCTGGAGTAACAAACATCCCTTACTTGGTCTCTGTGCTTCCATTCTTGTTCTACCTCCTATAAGATTCTCCAAACCAAGGCCAGAGTTATCCGTTTAAAACTTGAAACTTTTTTTTAAAAAAATATTTATTTATTTATGTGAAAGACTGAATTATAGAGGGAGATAAGACAGACACAGAGATACCCTCTATCTACTAGTTTACTCCCCAGATGGCCACCATGGGTAGGGCTGGGCCAGGCCAAAGCCAGGAACCTGGAACTCCGCCCATGTCTCCCACATGGGTGCAGGGGCCCGAGGACTTGGGCAATCACCTGCTGCTTTCTCAGGTGTATCAGTAGGGGGCTGGATGGCAAGTGGAGCAGCCAGGATTTGACCCTCTGCCCCACAATGCTGGCCACTAAAATTTCAAACTTAATGTCACTGCCCCTTCTTAAAATCCTCTAGTTGCTCTTCACTGCACTTAGGAGCCTGGGACTTATATGAAGGCAAAAACTGAATAAAGAGCAATCTAATCAATAAGCAAAGCAACAAAACCAAAAAACAGACTTAGGAAAACACAACACTTGCCACACAGGTGGTAGACAAAGGGTTAGAGTTTATGTTATAAAAGAGCTTTGACTTGAAGGGAACTCCTCTGAGTGAGAAAAGCGAAACCGAGAGCTAGGAAAGGGGCCACGGGGAGGAGGGGCCTGGAGAGCAGCACCTGCAGCTCCCCGCTCCCCGGCTGGTCTGCTCTGCCCTGCTCTGCCCTGCTCTGCCCTGCTCTGCCCGTGCTGCCCGCGGCCGGGAGGTTTCACTGAGGTGGTGCTGGCCACAGCAGGCTGTGGTTTCTAAAAGCTGCAACAGACTCTGGAGGGGCACCCGCCCATGTCCACGCGGCGCGCTGCGGAAGGCACGCTGGGCTCTCACCTTGGCGAACGCGTCTCTGCCGTAGCTGGCCTCCTGCTCCGTGTGCTGCTTGTCGATGATGTCGCGGCCTGTGGCCACCGTGCGGTAGAGGAGGGCCTTCTCCACCGCGTCGGTCTTGGTGGACAGCAGCTCTGCTATGATCGACACAACCTGGCCGTTCTCGATCAGAGTCGTGTCTCCATCTACCACGAATTTTAAATTTCCCTACAGCAGAAGTCAGAAAACAAAACACACCGTCTCCAGTGAGATTCTGGAATGTTGCACCAGGGATTCATTCGTCAATTTGAAATATAATTAAGTGACTTGGTTTATATCTCCTTTCCTAAACACATCACATATCCCAACGCAGAAAAACCTAGCGCTTCATCTGTTCTTTTCCTCTTCTCCAATTGCTCGTCTCTTTTTCCATTTTTAGCGCATGTTATCAGTGGACAGAAGTTTTACACTTTTATTCAAATCTGTACATCTTTTGCCTTAGGATTTTCTTTCTTTGATGTCATACTTACATTGCTCCTGCTACAAACATACAGTATTCAGTATTTCTTTCTAATACTTTTGTGTACACTTTTTCTCTCATTTAAACTTTTAACCCATCCAGAACTTACTGTATGCGGTATAAAGTGAGAATCTAACAACTTTTGCAGGTGGTTACTGAGCTGCCCCAATACCACATAGGGGGTATTCTAGCTTTTTTCTGTTGATCTGACATGTCACCTTTTTTAATAAGTTAAATTCCCTAAGCATTTGAGTCTATTTAAATTCCACTTGTGGCCGGCGCTGCAGCTCACTAGGCTAATCTTCTGCCTGTGGCACCAGTACTCTGGGTTCTAGTCCTGGTTGGAGCGCCAGTTCTGTACCAGTTGCTCCTCTTCCAGTCCAGCTTTGTGCTGTGGCCCGGGAAGGCAGTGGAGGATGGCCCAAGTGCTTGGGCCCTACACCCGCATGAATAAATATGAGAGACCAGGAGGAAGCACCTGGCTCCTGGCTTTGGATCGGCACAGTGCGCCGACCGTAGCGGCCATTTGGGGGGGTGAACCAACGGAAGGAAGACCTTTCTCTCTGTGTCTCTCACTGTCTAACTCTGCCTGTCAAAAAATTTAAAATAAAATTCCACTCGTTCAATAAGTGATAAATACTAATGAACCCTGTACGAAGTATCCAACACACCAACCAGCCCATGGGTTGGTCTGTTGATGGTGCTGGATTTGTGTAACAGGTTTTTTTTTTTTTTTTTTTTTTTTTTTTTTGACAGGCAGAGTGGACAGTGAGAGAGAGAGAGAGAGAGAGAGAGAGAAAGGTCTTCCTTTGCCGTTGGTTCACCCTCCAATGGCCACCGCGGCCGGCGCACCGCGCTGATCCCAAGGCAGCAGCCAGGTGCTTCTCCTGGTCTCCCATGGGGTGCAGGGCCCAAGCACTTGGGCCATCCTCCACCACACTCCTGAGCCACAGCAGAGAGCTGGCCTGGAAGAGGGGCAACCGGGACAGAATCCGGTGCCCCGACCGGGACTAGAACCTGGGGTGCCAATGCCGCTAGGTGGGGGATTAGCCTATTGAGCCGCAGCGCCGGCTGTGTAACAGGTTTTACAGTGCTGTCACTGTCGCTCTCATTTTAAATTGGGTAGAAGTGGTCGTGCCTCCTCCTTCCCTTCTCCAAACCCACAGCTCTTCCTCCACTCATTTCCTTTGCTTCTCTTATAGGTTTACTGTTCCCAGAAAATTCTGGAATCATTAAGGCCAAGTTAAAAACTAAATACAATTTTTATTTAGAGTCCAACGGGGACGTTGCACTGCATTTTAAACTAATTCAAAGAGGCCTCTTGGTTTATGACTTCCTCGTGAGGATATTTACTTGTCATTTCCAGTGCTGTGTGCTGTTTCACATACAGACCTTGCACATTCCTGATTCACTGTTATTAACAGCATCAAGAGGTAGCAACGTAATGTGATGGTGTTAATAGGCAGGGCCTCTGGAAGGAGAGTGGACTGGATTGAGTCTTCAGGGTACAGCCTCGAACATTAAATCCTGGTGGCTTCATTACAGACCACACAGACACAGACACAGACACAGACACAGACAGACAGCGTTGCTGCCAACACTCCCACTCTTGCATAGTTTCCCAGGAAATAAAAGAAAAATAGGAGAAAGCAAAAGTCAGGCCCTGAAAGCACGTGGTGCTCTGTGCTGCCTGGGACTCTGCCAGCCAGAACACCGTCACCAGAGGCTGAACCCAAGGGGCCTGCCTGACCTTGGACTGTGAACCTCCAGAACTGCAAGCTAAAACAAACCTCTTCTCCCTTCACGAGTGGTTTATCTCAGGTAGCTCGTCGTAGTTACAAAAAGCTAATACACGCTCAAACACTGTACAGTTAGTCCATTACACTTAAAATATCTCTGATTATATAATGTAAAGGGCAATGAAAGATCTCCAAACCATGGTTCTTCACTTCTTCAGAGACTGGCTGGCAAAGCAGAATACAACAGGGCCACGTGTCGGCCCAGCTGGTGCAGAGTCGGGGCTCAGGGAGGAGCTGGCTGGGGTTTGGAGGCAGCCACCCCACCCTTCAGGGCTCATTTCCCAACTTGTCAAGTCAGACAATAAAAAACCCGGTTCTAGCAATCAATCTACCACTCCACATTTCAAACGCCATCCTCAGCCTGTATCACTAGCCATCAGCTCACTGTTGAAGGACCTGATCCTAGAACCTGACCAGGTTGAAGTCTGATCCCGATAAGACAATGAACCCAAGCTATCATCTCAATCTGTCCGTAGATTGTAAAACAGTGGCAAGAGCCACAGGCAGAGTCATTTCTTCAGGGCATGAGCAAAATGGTTCTCAAAATAAATCACCTCTTAAACTGACAGGGCTAAAGCACAGCTTCCAGAACGGGAATCCGGCCTCCCAGGGCGGACAGCTCCTGGGGAGGAGGCCCCACTCACCAGGTGAAGGATAGCAGCCAGAATTCTATACACCGTCTGAACCTCCTCGGCCTGGAAGCCAATCACTTTCATGGCATCGGCCACGACTTTGAACTCGGCAGCGTCATTGATGGAAGACTAGGAAGGGAAACAGAAGACTGTGGTCAGACATGTTTCACGAGAGCCTTGCTCTCCAACCAAGGGTGCCCAAGGTCCTGGCCGCTCTACTCTAAGTCACTTGCAGGGGTGATGAGCGTCCACAGAAAATAAAATGGTTCGGGGGTGGAAACATCATCACGGGAGACAAAGCCCACTGTTGTGTGAAAACCATCGCCCAAGACAGTGCAGTGGAGGGAGCAGGTCTTGCCCATCATTCCCTCATGATCTGTGGAGGCAGTGGGAGGGGCGATGGCAAAAGGGAAAAGGGAACATGGGAGCCTCCAAAACACAGGCTTTCTACTCTGGTTGGTGGCTCTCAGACCCACAATTCATCTTCACAGACTGGCAACAGCACTCACACTCTTGCGTCATCAGGCCTTTTATTTCCCAGGTGAGGGAAAAGGGCTCCCGAACCACAGCTGCCAGCTCCAGCCTTCAGCAAGCTTTCGCTCAGCCCGGGGCCAAATCCTGACCTTTTCACTCATTCGACCGACATTTGTGAGCCAGCTCCTCTAAGTGACACAAGGGAGTTCAAAGATGGATGGCCTGCCCCTCGGGAGCTATGGCTGTCCGGTGGGAAACCCCAGCGTGGGAGCAGAGACCCAGCAGACAGCGATGCTGACTGTAGACACGGGAGTGTTCCCGAAGCAGCAGCTACACAGGGCCTGATAAGCCTTTCTCTGGTGAGCTGCACCTGGCCTGATGCTCACCTGCTGAGGGAGGGCACAGGAAGGGCCTCTCCCCCTGCTAGTTGAGCACGTGTTCCTCTGGGGTGCAGGCAACAACCAGGGCAGCTCCTTTACCTAGTGGGTTTTTGGTTTTGCTTGTTTTTTTTTTTTTTTTCCGCAGTGCTTAAAGATAGTGACGTGTGTATTTATTCATAATTTACACATACATACATCCTTATGGGGTCCAGTATGGCCTTCCAGTGCATGTACACGACATGTAATGACCAGGTTAATTAGCATACCCGTCACCTCAAACGCTGATCACTTGTGTTGGGAACATGCAGAATCCCATTAGCTACCCTGAGACACACAATTAACTGTTCAGGCAGTGACCTCCCTGTGCTGCAGGTCATCACAGGTTACTCCTCCCACCCAGCTGCACCCATGCACCCATGGCCCATGCTCCTCCTCCCGGTCTCTGGCGATCACTGTTCTTCTGAGATCAGCTTTCTAAACTTTCACACCGAAGTGAGAACCTGCAGTAGTTTTCTTTCTGTGCTGACACAATGTCTTCCTGCCTCATTGCTGCTGCTGCTAATGACAAGACTGCATCCTTTTTATGGCTAAGTACTAGTCCACGGTGTAGAGGTAACCAGGTGCTCTTTATCCACTCATCCACCAACAGAGCACCCAGGTCAACTCCACACCCTGGCTATGTGAACAGGGGGACAATAAACACGGGAGTGTAGGCATCTCCTGGACATTCCGGCTTCCTTTCCTTTGGATATATAAACCCACAGTGGGACTGTTGGACCGTACGGCGGTTCTAATTCTAGATTTCTGAGGAAACTCCATAGTTTCCCACAGGGCTGCACTGATTAACATTCCCATCAGCGGTGTAGGAGAGCTCCCCCTTCCCTACATCTTCACCGGAATCTGAGTCTTTTTTGTTCTTTAGCCATACTAACAGGTGTGATAGTATTTCACTGTGGTTTTTAATTTCCCTTTCCCTGATGAGTTCATATACTTGTTGCCCATTTGTGTATTTTCTCTTCAGACATGGCTACTCAGATCATTTGCCCACTTTTTAAATTGGATTTGGGTGGGGGTGGGTGTTGGGTTGAGTTCTTTCATCTCAGCAGCTGAACAGCTTGAAAGTATTTTCTCCCATTCTGTTTCTGTGAAGAATGTCATGGTACTGTGACAGGGACTGCACTGACTCTGTAGACTAATTTTAGTAGTATGGACATTCAAAACGTTAGTTCTTCAAACCCATGACCACAGGATGGCTTTCCAGGTCTTACTGATCTCTCCTACCCCTTTGTTTCAATTTATTCCAAGTTATTTTTCAGTTTTTGTTGCTGTTGTTTTAATGTGACTGCTTTCTTCATTTCTTTTCTGTCTGTTACTTCTAGGGTGCTGAAATGTTACTGATTTTTGCAAGCTGATCTTGTATCTGGCACTTTCACTGAAATCACGTCAGTTGACAGGGTTTTTGTTTTGTAATTTTTGGGGTTTTTAGTTGGAGGTTTTAGTTTTCCTATATATAGGACTGCAAATGGGGACAATTTGGCTTCCTCCTTTCCAAACTGGATGCCTCTATTTCTCACTTAATTGCTCTGGGTAGCACTCTCAGTCACTGTTGATAAGAGATTCACTGATTTGGAATGAGCATGTGGTTCAATCTCCACACATTTTTTTAATTTCCACAGTTCCTCTGGTTGACTACTAATTTTATTGCATTGTGACCTGAGAAAATGATTTTGGTTTTTAAAAATCTGTTGGTCCTCGTTTGGTGTTGGTCTAATGTAGGGTGCAAACTGGAGGTAGGAATGTATACGTGCAGCTGGCGGGGCAGCATTCCACAGACACCAAGTCCATTTGTTTCACTGTTGACTTTCTGTCTGGATGACCTGTCCGTTGACAAGTGGGGTGCTGAGGTCCCCAGCTTCCGTTACTGAGTAGTTGGTTTGCTTTAACACTTTGTGCGAGATACTTAACCCCGCTGAGCCTCGAATTCCCCATGGATAAAACGGGCATAACAATACATTTCTTACAGGTTGCCGTGAAAGTCCAGTGAGAATTTATAACAAAGCACCTCCCCAGCTCCTAGCCCATGAAAAACAAACCACTCCAAAAGTGTCTGGTGTTAATTGTTAGACACAGCCACCATATTGAAACGACAAAGTAACTGGGCGACAATCTGAACATCCCACAGGGGGAATTGTTAAGGCAATGAATTAACCAGCAAGGGAATGCTCCGCCAGGGCTTCCTGTTACATGAAATCATTAAGTTCTTTATTACTTTTGGAGACCTTTCACTGGACTTTGCTCTTGCTGCAACTCAAAATATCTTCATTGTACATGATTCCTACATTGCTTAAGAAACATACAGCACAATACTTCATAGTTGCTAGAATTATTACGTTAACTTATGCTTGTTTGCATGGGAAGATGTTTACTTAATTAAGATGTATTGCAGGATTCTGCTTATAAGTATACAGAAACCACTATCAGTAATTATTTCTGGATGGTAAGATTCAGTGTATTTTCACTTCCTTTTGGCTCAGCTTTAGTTTTTTGGTCTTAAAAGATTTATTTAAAAAATTTATCTGAAAGGCAGAGTTAGAAGAGTGGGGGGAGAAATAGAGAGATCCTCCTTCCTCTGGTTCACTCCCCAGATGGCTGCGACATCTAGGGTTGGGCCAGGCAGAAGCCAGGAGACTGGAACTCCATCGGGTCTCCCATGTGGGTGGCAGGGCCCCAAGTCCTTGGGCCATCTTCTGCTGCTTTTCCAGGTACATTAGCAGGGGGCTGCATAGGAAGTAGAGCAGCCATGACATGAACTGGTGCTGATACAGGATGCTGGCAGCATAGACAGCTGCTTAATCTACTGCGCCACAACGCCAGCCCCTAGTTGCTGTTGTTTTAACAGGAATTCTCAGTGGTGAGAATGCTGGGAAGACAGTATTCCATCAGGGCCTGGAGCTCAACCTTCTCAAAAATTTTTATTCAAAATTTATTTATTTGAGAACAGAGAGCTCTCTCGCTGGTTCCCTCCCCAAATTCTTAGGCCAGGCCAAAGCCAGGAGCGGGGAACACAATCCAGGTCTCCCATGTGGGTGGCAGAAACTCCAGAACTTGAGGCATTACCGCTGCCTCCCAGAGTGTGCATCAGCAGGAAGCTGGAGTCAGGAGCAGAGTTGGGACCTGACCCCAGGAACTGACATGGGAGGCAGATGCGTCAACAGGCATCTTAAGTGCTTGACCAAATGCCCACCCCTATTTTAGGTTTTGACTGTGATTATATATTGCTGCTTCATTTTTGTTAGAGAGGAAGATAAAAAGGGAATGGAAAAACAGGAATGGAACACTTAAAAAAAAATGAGACCCTAAGCTAAATTTAATTTAGAAAAAAGGTTAAATGTTAATATAATACATTCTGTAGTAAATTCATTACATGACCTGGCCAAAAGTAATTTGGTCAATAAGACAATCTGACAGAAAAGAAATATGCATAGTCACTGGCTTTTTAACTGTTGATTTTATGATCCTTTTACATCTTTAAGTACCCCTGGCCAGTGCACAGAAGTTGGAGTATGGCCCTCTATTATTTTTTGTTTGTTTCTAATTAATTTTCAGCCACATTCCTGCTCTCAGGCAACTATAAAATAGAGTTGATGTAACCTAAATGTCAAATAATGGGAAATTAATTGCAAAAACCTAAATATCATTTATTTCTATGCATAGCAATAAAAATACAGCTAATCCAGTAATGAAGGTATAATAGCTTAAGGCAAATAGTAAAAAATTTAAAAAAGACATACTGCCTACATCTTAGATCCTTTTTAAAATAATTTTTAAATTTTTCACCCAACTACAAAAGTAATGCATGTTTTACTAGACAAAAATTTAAAAATATGGAAAAGCAGAATATAAATATGCATAATTCCACCTATCTGGAATAAACAGTTAAAATTGTGATCCCTGGGGCTGGTGTTCTGGTGTAGTGGATAAAAACGCCTTCTGCAGTGCCGGCATCTCATCTGGGCACCAGTTTGAGTCCCAGCTGCTCCTCTTCTGATCTAGCTCTCTGCTATGGCCTGGGAGAGCAGAAAATGGCTCAAGCCCTTGGGCCCCTGTACTTACACGGGAGACCTGGAGGAAGCTCCTGGCTCCTGGCTTTGGATTGGCTCAGCTCTGGCTGTTGCAACCATTTGGGAAGTGAACCAGCAAATGGAAGACCTCTCTCTCTGCCTCTGTCTAACCCTGCCTTTCAAATAAATAAATAAATCTTTAAAAAAAAATTGTGGCTGGCGCCACGGCTCAATAGGCTAATCCTCCGCCTAGTGGCACCGGCACACCGGGTTCTAGTCCTGGTCGGGGCGCCGGATTCTGTCCCAGTTGCCCCTCTTCCAGGCCAGCTCTCTGCTATGGCCCGGGAGTGCAGTGGAGGATGGCCCAAGTCCTTGGACCCTGCACCCCATGGGAGACCAGGAGGAGGTGCCTGGCTCCTGCCTTCGGATCAGTGCGATGCACCGGGCGCAGTGTGCCAGCCGCGGCGGCCATTGGAGGGTGAACCAACGGCAAAAGGAAGACCTTTCTTTCTGTCTCTCTCTCTCACTGTCCACTCTGCCTGTAAAAAAAGACTAGCAGAAAACTAATTAAAAATAAGAACAAAACTGGGCACACAAGTATGTGTGAAAGCTGAATAGAAATGCCCCCAGGGTCACAAAACTATTTCTAGGCTACATCACAAAAAACAGTGAGTAAACAGAGTGCTGTTAAATTTTCTTTCTTTTTACCAACTTGCCCATGGCCTAATCACGTGGGGTCTTCTCAGGAGGTGGCCTTCCTAGTCCTACTGAAATTCGTATAGTGTCAAGACAACAGGACCAGGAACAGGGCTTAACATTCAAACACTGAGCGTAGAAAGAAACGTCTTTCCTGTTGGATGGTGATAATATCGTAAAGTAGGCTCTTCACCAAAGCTATTGCTTCATTAACAGACTGAATCACTGATCCCGAGAATTTATAAAACAGAAGAGAAGACACACTGATTAGCCCAAAGGCAGCAGGCTCCAACAGGTCATTATTCAGGGCCGCCCTGTCTGCTTCCTTGTCTGAGCAGCAGACCTCACCTTTAGCTGGGCTCCTACGTGGATGTAGTTGTAGGATGAAAGGGATTTCTGGAGATGCAGAGAGCGCAGTATCTGCTCGGAACCTCCTTGCAGTAGCTGAAAAATATTCAATTAGGAAAAAATCAGCAAAAGACACATTGACCCAAATAAACCAAATGCTCTAAGTCAGCGCTGATCTAGCTTTTATCCACTTTCTGGGATTAATTCACCTTGGGCTTCCTGTCTAGCTTTGAAGAAGCATTTTTCCCCTTGCAGGTAAGTAACTGCTTCAGTGTCATCAGCGAAGGGAACATAAAGCAGTCATGAAGAAAATTACTGTAAGAGTCAGCTCATTCACCACATCCCTGGTATGAGAAGTTCTGGCTTTGGCCACGGTCCTTTGTGGAATGAGATCCTATGCTCTGTGGTGGACACCTGCTTAGCTGCTCACAATGACAGGGCATGGCTGGGTTTCAGAATTTGGAAGCAAGAGGCCCTGCAGGCAGCCACGTGCTCCCTCACGTCCTCACCAGCCTTGGAGACCTCAGGCAGGGAGACCAGGAGGATAACCACGACTCCAGTGTTGCACAAAGACACCGAACACCCTCACCCAGATGGGGAAAGCACCGGGAAAAGCTAGGAGTGTGTGAGACACAGACTGCTTTCACATTTTGTGTTTATTCAAAACACAGCAACTTGTCAATAAAAACCCAACACAATACTGATAGGCATTATGTTTAAATTCTCCACATCCAACTGTAGGCTTTGGTTTATTTTGAAAGGTCTAATTAGCAGACTTTAAAAATCAAATTGTTTTTAACCAAATAGAACAGAACTTGTTTATATCAATAACAAGTGTCTACTGCAGCATAACCCAGAAACAACCGAACTGGCCCGAGATGCATTCAATTGTTCTGTCACCATCTGATCACCTTCAGGGGCAGTGCGCACAGGGAGGCTGAGCTTGCTTAATCTGATCACACACTTTTTTATTAGCCTTGGTTTCTATCACTTGGGGCTTTAAAACATTATAATAATGTGCCAAAGTTGTTCTCTGAGTGTAGACAGCAGCAGGAGGGCTGTTGGAAAGATCTTGCTTTACATTCTGAAAGCACTCCCCAAAGAGGTATTCAGTATTCTCCCTAAGCTTTGCTGAGATCAAGAAGACAATTCTCTCTTGAATTGACAAATCCTGGTTATTTTTAAAAAAGTAATCATCTTGCTTTATAGGCTCTATGTGCAAAATACACTGAATTTGCATTCCCATGCCTGGAACTCCCTAAGGTGGGAACAACGGCTCCAATTAAAAATAAAACTAATTTAACATGCTTAGAATGTACCATGTGCACAGTCATTAAGCCGTTATCTGCGTTCCAAGGAAATACAGGTAATGGTCAAACTCAACCGAAGCAGTTGCCTTGATGGGTGACACCTGCCAGCTCTTCATCACAGTCATGGCAGATCTCCTGAGACACCAGTGTTTTAATTTTTAATCCTATTCCTAGCCCTTTTTTTTTTTTGATACTATGCAAATATTATCAGGATTATTGTAGGGTAGGGAGAGGAGGAAGGAGTGTGTGTGTGTGTGTGTGTGTGTGTGTGTGTCAATGAAGGAAAGGGAGGGATAAACCAGGAGAGAGTCCAATGTTGAAAAAAATACTCACTTCCTATACAAATGAGCAAATGATCAATTATCTGCATAGCAGAGGATTACTAACCTGATAGAAAGAATGAAAGCTTCTTTCTCCTGGCTGTTGTACAATCACTCGGGACTGAGGGAAAAAAAAAAAAAAACACATTAAAATGGTAAATCTGAAAATGTGCTCCTAAAATGAAATGGAAGCCACTTTGCTGGGAAATATTACATGCGCAGTTCACTTAAATACCCTGAGGCTCCCACAGATGGCGCTCGTCTAAAATCAAGGTCTTCTCTATGGGGTTTCCTGTGCAATTTCTGATAGTCCTTTCCGCTGCTTAAAACAGAGGTCCCTAAACTTTCCTAAGAATGAGCTATTTTGATTTTCTTTCTTAACCTGTGGCCTGAAGATGAAATTTGGTGAGGGATCGGAAGTCGGGGGACTAGGAAGGAATGCTTAGGGAGGAATATTCTCAACATTGCCTTCCCCAGGGACTGCTGGCATTTCAAAGAGCAATGCCTTACATCCTGTAATAAAATCAGTTGAGCAAGATGGGTCTCTAGGGACCCTGGCCTTAGATGCTCCCAAACGATTGCTATTGAGGCAGTGTTTCAAAGGGATCCTTCAACCAAGAGTGTACATAGAGAGGCCCATGAAGCATTTTGGAAAAAAGACAAAACCTGGCATTTCCTCCCTTCAACCAACTCTATTCAACATTTCTTTCTTTATCAGTCAGACTTCGATATAAACAACAAAAATAGAGACTCTGCCTCCCTACAGTGACATGAAGGATGCGTCCTGAACTGAGAACAGCTCAGGAGAGTGGGACAGCATGTCAGCTCTGGCCTGAGCACAGCTCAGGAGGAGACTGAACTTCGTGACATACAAGATTAACCGTAAGAATCGGGTGAATGAAATCCGTTTGCTTTCTTGTGATTGGCTTCAGTGATCACTAAGGCTGGTTAGGACACAGGCAGTCCCAAGAGGACAGTTTTAATTGGATTGTTCTAGAAATTGAGCCTAACAGATTTCATGGACCAAATGCTTCATCATGAGGATGTAAGATAACAAAATACATACAAGTTACCAGAAAGCAGTGAACAAGTAGAAATGGAAGAAAATGAGACTTCAAATTAACTCAAATTAAAATACATAGAAGACAGTGATGTTTAAAAGAATAGAACTGATTGGCCCTAGATAGGTTTGTGTTAAAGTATACCTAGAAGTTGGCTACATGCCAATACGCCCCCACCATGTCCAAATATGTGTCTGCAAAACAGGTAACTTTTCCCAACTTGATTCTGCAGGTGCTAATAAGATAACAAGAAAAAAGAGAGCATATCAGGGCCAGTGCTGTGGCATAGCAGGTAGAGCCACCGCCTGTAGTGCCAGCATCCCATATGGGCGCTGGTTCTAGTCCCAGCTGCTCCACTTCCAATCCAGCTCTCTGCCATGGCCTGGGAAAGCAGTAGAAGGTGACCCGAGTCCTTGGGCCCCTGCACCCATGTCTGTGGGAGACCTGGAAGAAGCTCCTGGCTCCTGGCTTCGGATTGGCCCAGCTTCTGCCATTGTGGCCATTTGGGGAGTGAACACGCAGATGGAAGAAACATCTGTCTCTCTCTGTGCCTCTGCCTCTTTGTAGCTCTGCCTTTTAAATAAATCTTTTTTTTTTTTTTTTTTTAAAGAGCATATCACAGAAAGCTAATTGAAGAGGGCGGACAGAATTAATTACATTGAGCAATATAAGAAATTATACAAATTGAAGTATTTTTATTTTGTTTTTTAAAATTTATTTATTTGAAATTCAGAATTAGAATGAGTAACAGAGAGAGATCTTCCATCACTAGCTCACTCTCCAGATGGCCACAATGGCCAGGGCTGGGCCAGGCCAAATCCAGGAGCCAGGAGTTTCTTCTGTGACTCCCATGTGGGTGACAGGGACCCAAGTACTTGGGTCATCTTCTGCTGCGTTTCCCAGGCCATTAACAGGGAGCAGGATCAGAAGCGGAACAGCTGGAATGCGAACTGGTGCCTAAATGGGATGTAGGTTTCATAGGCAGCAGCTTTACCCACTACAGCACCATGCTGGCTCCAATCAAGTATTTTTAAATACTCAGCATTTATAAATATTGCCTTCAGAAATTAAGCACATTTTACCTTCTCCAGTAAGTAGTTATTGATGTGTCCACCAATAGGATCTCCCTTGAAATCAAAGTTGATATCCATGTATTTTCCAAATCTGCTTGAGTTGTCATTACGATTGGTTTTGGCATTTCCAAAAGCTTCCAATACACAATTGGACTTGAGCAACATATTCTTCACTCTTTAACACAGACAAATCAAAGTTAGTATGGAAAGCTTTAGAGACCAGACTTTTTAAAAACTGGAAATTGCTGTAACACACACAAATACTTATATACAGATGCTGACTACAGGATGTTTGCCATATTACAAAACACAAACAACTTAAACGGCCAACAGTAGGAACAGATAAAAAGAAAATACCAACCAGACCCTAAGAAGAATGAGGTACAGCAGTACAGCATTATGTGCTGATGTGGAAAGACATCCTGAATACATGAATGAGTGTAAAATCAACTTTCAAGATAATATGCACTGCAGGATCACGGTGTCTGTGTGTGTGCGCACACACATGTGTTAGTGAATGTTTAAAAATCTGGAAGGATCAGTACACCCCAGTAAGGTCATCTAGACAGAGGTTGATGGGCTGGGCAAGGTAAGAATTCAGAGGAATTTTACCTTCAAATTAATTCTGAAATTTTTGGTTTTTCCCTTAAAGATTTACCTAAAGAAAAGTCTTAGAAAGCTATGAGGGGTCTTCAACACATTCATGGAAAATGCATGTTACGAAAAAACTATGCATGGATTTCAATTTTCTTGCACCAAAATAAAGTCTTTTAATTCTGTTTTCCATGAACTCTCTGAAGTACCCTTTTATATTCTGAAGTGTGTGTTGGGGGGGGGGGGCATTGGGTAACACAGAAATGACAGCTTTCCTAGTACAACTGTCCTCTGTTCTTTGGGATTTAGTTCCAAGACCCTCTGCAGATACCAAATGCTCTAGATGCTCAAGTCCCTTCTCTTCAATGGCACAGTGTCTGCATGGGAACCACTCACATCACGCATATATTCTAAATCATCTCTGGACGGCTTCTAACACCTGATGCAATGTACATGACCAAACAGTCATCACACTGCCCTGTTCAGAGAATAAAGAGAGGAAAAAAAGGCTGTACATGTTTACTGCAGATGTAATTTTCCCCTTAAATATTTTCAATCTCTGGCTGGTTGAACACATGGATGCAGAACCCACGGATATGGAGAGACAGCTGTCCTTGCTTATAAAACCCAGAATAGTGGAATTTTATTGTACTTAGTTATACATCATAAATTTGGTCTTTACTAGTTTAGGAATTGCTCATTATTTTGTTTGAAGCTCTATGGAATCTCTCCTTTGCAGCAGTCACTTAATGCATTCTTCATCCCATGAATGCTAACTTTCTGTGGTGCAGGCCCTCCCAGCGGATACATTTAAACTTCACAGCGCTCCTATGACTTTGCTTTAATTCACGGATGGAACTCCTCTAATACAGGCACTTCTGCTGGAGTAACGCCAGGCAGTCAAATTACAAGATGGAGCTGGTCCTCGCTCCTCCCACCAACACCGGGAGTGACCCTTGAACCTTCTCTCCCCATGGGTGAAGGCAAACTTGCAAAATGTTCCTGTGAGTGCCGGGGGAGGGGAGGACTGCTTGCTTATAAAGGAGATTGCTTCTAAAACCGCCACAAGCTGTGCTCGTGAAATACTAGTAAATCCACACATGCCTTACTCTAGTGAAACTAAAATCAATTCGGTTCTTTGTTACTCTCCTCCGCTCCTAAGGAAATTAAGAAAATTTACTCGTCATATCAGACTGCAAAGGCAGAAGCGGAAATGGGGATGCGTCACAATTAAGAAAAATGCCCAATGATGAACCGAAGAAAGTACGCAGCTGGGTGGCTGAGCTTAAATTGTTGTCTTTCACACGAACCCGGAGTCCTTTCTTCGTGCTCATAAAACTGAAGACTGGCGTGTAGGAGAGGTGTGACTTGCGGCAAATTAACGCTGAGCCTCAAAGTGGTGGCTGGGAAAGCACTTTCCTCCTCAGAAGGGCTGTGCCACGTGAGGACGCCACGCAGTGAGCAGTGACCACGCAGTGACACCTCACAGCCAGTCATGCGTACACATTTCCTAAGCAAACACTGCGTGCCAGACTCCGCCCCAATGCTGGGCCCAGGTGGCGGGGACCAGCGTTACCACTCAGCTTACTGTGAGCAGCAGCACTCTGGGAGAATGAATCTTACTTATAATTTCAATGATTTGTTTGAAAAACAAAGCAACAAAGACGCTGGTACAGCAGGAAGCACAGAACCTGCAAGAGCTTCAGCAATAAAACCTGCCAGTGTCAGCTCTGACGGTTCTGCTGTCCTCATGTAAGTCTGCACGCATAGACTGGAATGGGGACACCTCCAACTCTCGCAGAGTAACGTCTTCATTTGTTTTGTAATTAGGTAAAGTTTACTGCAGCAAAAGTTTATTGCAGCGATACGTTTCTACTAAAAAAAAAAAAAAAAAAAAAAAAAAGAAAGAAAGAAAGAAACGCAGAGATAGAGCCAGTGGTATGAACGATAGCAGAGAGGTGATACGCAAGCAGAGAATCAAAGTGGTTTCACCACCCAAACTTGCTTGACACGTGGCAGAGTGGAGGCCGGGCCATATCTGTCCAGAGAAGGAAGCTGCCACCGGGATTTCTCCCCACGTCAGGGGGGCTCTTACCTTTCCACCTCTGCCCTCTGGCTGGGGTTGGTGATGGCCGCAATGTACTGCATGATGTATTTGCTGGCTTCCGTCTTGCCAGCTCCACTCTCCCCTGCAGTGAAAAGTTGTGCAGGGTTTAACGTGAGAATCAAAACCAAGAGAAACATTCGTTATTCATTTAGAACCCCTCATGTTGCACTTTTTTTTTCTTTTTCTCCTTCGAGTTATTTCACCTGTCTTGTAGTGGTTCTAACAGGTGTGAACATGTTGAAAAATAAATGAATAAAAAGCACAAACACTCTTGCAGAAGTCAAATGACAAGATGACTACAGATCGACACTGACTTAGGGCCAAGACAGCGTGGGATTAAGATGCAGTAGATCAATTCTTCAATCATGAGTCTCTGCACTTGACACTGACCTGAGTCAGCCAGAAAGGACATAAACAGTGGCCACAGTAAAATCCGTATAATCTTATTTTATATAGCAGGGTCTCTTTTTATCTTAAATGGGATAAATGAATTATTTGACAATATTAATTACAGTTAGAGTAATTATGATGAGAAAAACAAAACGTCAAACTCCAGACCCAGCCACCACAGACGAAGCATCTCGGCCACTGTGACTGGGTTGGCGTGGGAAGGGGCCAATGCGGAAGTACCTGCCCTCGTTTTCTGACTACAAAACTATACCTGTACAAGTTTCTCCAAAGGAAATGCTGCAAAATACGAACATACCCAAGTGATAATAAAACAACTTTCTAAGTTTTAAAAAACCATTTCTGTAGAGGCAAGGCTAGGCTCATCAGTAGAGAACAGGGTAAATACATTATGAATGAGCTACTCGACAAAAGACCATACAGCTGCTACAGGGAACCCACTCGGACCACGGACAGTCTAAGGAAAACACATCCACTCCATGGTGCTTCACGAAAGACACGAACTAATACTGCACTAAGTGTTCCTCATCCTGTTTAGGACAGGAAGTGATGCAGATGTCAGATTTTGGATTATTTGCATATGGTAATAAGATATCTTGGGGATGGGATCCAAACCTAGACACAGAACTCACCTGTGTCTCATACACACCTTACACACCTGAAGGTGACTTTACAGGGTATTTGTAGTGTGCCTGTGTTGTGACGACCACCCATCAGGGGAGACCCTGTGTGGAATTTCCCACCTGAGGCACCGCGTCAGTGCTCCCAAGCTTTGGATTTTCAGATAAGGGATACTCAACCATTGGATACCTATAATTACGTATTTACAGTATAACTAAATGTGCACGTGGGACTCGATGCATTTGCACATGCAGAGAAATTGTATAAAAGGATAAACACTCAACTGCTCCCAGCTGCACTGCTGGGATCTGGAGATGAGGCGTTCGGGAGAATGGGAATTTTCACTTGTGTGATTGCTCTGCTTGCCGGCTTCATAACCAGGCCATAGTTTCAATAACATGTAGTCCTACTATGTAATTCTCTAACTCTATTACCAAGTCACTCAGCTCTTCTGACCCTGTATGCGTATCTATAAAGGGGAAAAACTGTTCTACACATTGCTTAGCCATTTTGCTAGCCCAAGTGGAACAATGGCCATTGAAGAGCATTGAAACTACTAAGGCTAATGTGAAGTGTTATCAGCACCAAAAGAAATCCCCACAGTGTGGGAGAGGCCGCCCTAGGTCAGTGGGCAGTTTTCTCGTATTGACCAGTAAATAGGTCACCAGTACCGCTCGATGTGACTGGGGTAGATCAGCCCCAGCTCTCTGGCCCAGGGGCTGGCATCGCCCTCTCTCCCACTTTGGCTGGCAAAGCCTGCTGCTGCCCTGCACACACCCCTCGCTCCCAAGCACCAGCCTGGCTCTGCATTGCATTTGGCGCCTCATTGGTTCACATTCTCGGTTTCACTCCACTGGTATTCAAGCTGATTTTTGCTACCTTTTCCCTAGCACTTTGATATGGGTGAGACAGGGGAACCATTTTCCACGGGAGCTCAGCGGACAAGCCAGGAACAAGTCACCCAGGTGTAATACCTATGTGTCTGTGAACCAAGCCCAGGGAAGATCAGACAGGACACAAATACTTGGACACTAATGTTCATTATGCTTTTATTTCCCTCTTATAAAAATTGCTTAGGTTTCTAGCCAGGTGTGCGGGGGGGCTCAGTCCATGGTTTGGATCCTGAAGCACCAGGTAAATTCAACACATCTTGCTCTTGGAAGCACCGGGGCCCCTCTCAGTACCTGATATCACAATGCAGGTATCTTTCGACCGCCTCTTCATCGCCTTGTACGCAGCATCGGCGATGGCAAAGAGGTGAGGCGGCCGCTCATACAGCTCACGGCCCTTGTACTGCTCGATGGTGTCCCGCCCGTAGATGTTGAGCGACTTGTAGGGGTTCACTGAGACCACGACTTCTCCGATGAAGGTGTAGATGCGCCCTTTCTCGAACCTGTGCAGAAGCAAAGAAGAAAAGAGTGCAGCTGTGAGTACAGAGAAAGAGTAGTGCTTTCCACTGGGTCTCGTAACTCCCAGCAAGTCCAAATACCCGGGAGCAGTTTCCGGACTGACGTGTCCTTGCTTCTGTGTTTCCTTTGAGGGACAAGTGATCTGTAGCGATTAAGACCCAGCAAGAAGGAAGAAGGTAACATGTTGCGGGCTGGGAGTTTTGCTTTCAAAATACAGAAGGGTGAGAGGAGGGAAAAATTGAGAAACAGGTGCAGACAGCCTCGGAGCTCTGGAAGGAAAAGCAGGGCTTGCATCCACTCAACAGATGCTCAATTACAAAGAGGCCTGGCCACCTCCACTGTCCTCCTCTCCCTCTGGGAGCCCCACTCAACTGTCAGAAAAACCCATACTCAGACACTTGATATAAATCTAATTTTATATACTTTTTTTTTTTGGTGACTGCCTAAAGTCCCATGATGTTGATAAATCATCATTTATTCACAAATTCCCCTTCCTTCTGCTACAATGAACAGCACTACAGAAAACGCTCCAGACACATAAGCTTATAAGGTGGTGCTCTTATTTCTAGGAGACAGAGTCTCAGGGATGGGTGAGTTCCTTGAAAGAGATGTGTGGTTTTTCAGAGTATACAGCATGATCCCATTTTTTCCATAAAACAAAGGTGAAAAGCCACCCCATTTTTATTTGCATATCTGTTCAGAGACATTTCATAGATGAATACGTGGTATGAGAAACCATGGAAGAATACGTGTTAGCATGTGTTATGCATCCCTTTATGCACACAGTAGGGTGATATGGATAGAGGAAGATGAGGAGGAAGGCCATGTGGGCAGGTGGGAAGAGGCCATAGACCAAAGAACAAGGAGGAGAAGTCCCAGCATGTCTGACGTGACTACAGTGAAACACATCCATGTGTTTGTATTTACAGAGAAAACATTTATGCACAAAATTTGGAAAAGCCACACGTACCCACTATTTCCAGAGTACGTGAATCAGAGCTTGGATCTTTCTACACCAGCCACTGCCACAGAAAGCTCTGGCTGCTGAGAGGCAGGGGGAGATGTACCTGTGTCTTGCTCCCAAGAGCTGAACAAGAGGAGCACCCAGAGGGCTCAAATGCTGGCCCACAGACCGGGCAAAAGACACATCCTTAAAATTCCTTGAAGCCGGAATGAAGATGGTCAGCTATAATTAGGAGCAGAAACAAAGAGATGCTGATAATGTCAACAGTAAATTAAAAGCAAGATTTGTATCAAGTAGTTAGTATGTACTTAAGTAAGAGTTATTGGAGTGGGCGTTGTGGTGCAGTGGGTTAACCTCCCCTGGGATGCTTGCAGCCTACAGCACAGTGCCTGGGATTGAGTTCCACCTCTGCCTCCTGCTAATGCACACTCTCGGAGCTCAAGTACTTGGGTCCCTGACACTTACGTGGGAGACCCAGATGGCTGCTGCACGCATTTGGGAGTAAACCAGCAGATGAAAGATCTCTCTCTCTCTCTTGCTCTTTCAAATAAATAAAAGTATGAAAGTAAGTAAGAGTATTGACCACCTAAGGTTTTCTGTGCATCTTTCCACGTGGTTTTCCTATGCACCCTATTGTTAGTGTATCTGGCACAAAAGGCACTAACTGTGGACTCTTCTGCATCTTGGTGTGAATGCCCACGTTACAAACCCAATTACAGCAAGGCCTTGAGAATGCTACTTCATCTGCAAAATGGTGACAATAACACCCCCTCTGTCCCTCTTCCATTCAGCAAGTGCTTTTAAGAATAAGGCAATTAATCTTATGCTTCCAATCATGTTGCGCTTGAGGGAGATTCTTTAATAAATGTTTTTATTTTGTTAACATCGCTGCCGAAATCACAGTAATCCCTACACATGAGGAATAAGTGCAATGATTGCAAACCAATTCCCTGCCTCAGTTGTCAATCAACTACAAGTTCCAAGCAGAGTGTCGACACACCTCATGTTCAAAGACTGAAAAAAACAAACAATAAACCAAGAATCGTCACCCAGGTCTGTGTGGCTTAACCAGGACACCTGCAGCACACATTCAACAGGTATCTCCAAGAGCAAAGACGCAAAGGGCGAGATTCTTTAGATTCCACAAATGCTGTCCAAGTAGGAAAAATAAATAAAAGGGGCCAAAGAATGTTAGAAAGAGAAATGACTTTATAACTTCGAAACTCGATGAATCAGACAAAGCAGATAACATACGAGTTGTTAGAATGCAGCCCTAAGATTCCAGATGTGTCCAATAATGTAATTCCTCTCCCACTGAAAAAGTTTTAGGACCACTTAAAGATCATTCTTTTCTGAAATTCTTTATTTCACATAAAGTATTTTATGAAAACCTCTAGGCATCATGCTCTTGAAATACAATTAACACACATGTATACAATCATTGCACACATAGCTATTAACTAGGAGATCATGTCAGGGCCTCAGTAAAATACAATGTTAAACACAATGCTTCAGTATAGTCACAAAATGTTGAAAACTCACTGAAGTCTGATCTCAGTTCTCGGATAATGAAACTTTCCATTTTGGTTATGTCTTTAAAATCACCACTAGATGGTGCCAGTGTATACTTCAACACCTGCTGGAGATTTCAATTTGGTTTTTCGGGTGTGAAGGACACGGTATGGTATTGCCACCAGGGGGCGCTGCAGTAGTCCCACGGGACAAATAGGCTGACACCATCTCTCGAGAGATCCAGGACCCAAACACACAAATACCACATCCTTTCTCTGATATGTGCTAATTAATCTAGAATTCAAAAAACCCACAATGTACAAGAATGAAGCTGGTATTTTATGATTTGATGACTGTTTATAGCCCTTGTCTATTTTCCTGTGGAACAGTGGTCTTCCTATTTTTACTTGTTGAACATTATGCTTAGTGGTGCATTAAGCCTGTTTATAAAGTAAAATGAAAATATGTCATTGTAAAAGTTTAAAAAAAAAGGAAAGAAGGAAGGAGGGGGAATTGAGGGAGGGAGAGTGAGAGATATGGTTATGTTAGAATTTTATCTATAAAATACATAATATCTATTCTCTATAGTAATAAAATAAAAAAAAGAGATCAAGGGAGGCGTATCTATGACCTTTGTGTGCAAATCTTTCATGACAAACTTCTATAACATATTCTCTAAATATGTATTTACTGTGCTGGGCCTAACCCTGGGCATGAACAGAAACAGTAGAGACCAGGGAAGTCCTGGCGACAGATCACTCCAACCTCGTCTCCCAGGGAAGAGGAGCGAAGCATGACTGCAGTGGCAAAGGTCTTCACAGCAAGCCCCCTCGTGAGGAACTCTAACGGGGAAGGGACCCAGGCAGGGCACGCGCCTGTCTCCAGCTCTCCACGTCTCCCTGTCACGCCTGCATCCGAGAGCTCTCTGCAGTTCCCAGGGGCTCCACAGGCTCGCCCTGCCCCTTCATCCCCTGCGTGCTTGGCAGATGGCCACCGGGTCCTCAAAAGTCCGAGCACCAGGTCGCCCCCCGCCCCCGCCGAATTCCCAACACCCCATCTTCTCCCAGTGATTAGTTGCCTAATAGCAATTGATTTTTTTAGAACCTATTTTCTTTAAGAAGATTAAAAACATTTATTCAAAGGACCAGATACTTTCATTGACTTTCAAATCAAACAAGGAGGTTCTAAAGAGTTTTGAATTAATGCGAAGCAGTGGAAAAAATACCAAGATGATGCCTTGGGAGAACAACAGCCCTTTCCACATGGGATCTGAAACAGTTACTTTTTTTTTTTTTTTCTGAGACGTTGCCTTGTTAACTCGCACCTGTCACTTCTATGCAAGGCCATCAGATGAATCATGGGCAAGCCACATGCAGAACACTAGGAGAAGTGCCAGACACTGCGGGGGGGTGGGGGGTGGGGCAGCAGGCAGAGAATAGGAAGGCGGCTGGCCTAACCAGACAGAAAACTTGTGCTGAGAAATGTCGGCAACAGTCGGAACAGACGACGGGCTCCTACGTGATATGGCAGGACAGGCTTTGATGGCCAGTGAGGAGGCTCTGACTTGATGCAACTGTGGGCGAGTGTTCAGCCTCGTGGCTAAGACTGCTGCATCCCGCATCACAATGCCTGCTCCAGCTCCTGACTCCAACAAATGCAGACCCTGGGAGGCCGCGGGCGATGGTTCAAATAACTGGGTTCCCGCCACCCAGATGGGAGTCTTGGATGGAGTTTCTGACTCCCAGCTTCAGCTCCCAGGCCACTGTGGGCATTTAGGCTGTGACCCAATGGAGGGGAGCTCTGTCTGTCTCTCTGCATCTCAAATAAATGAACAAGAAACAAGGAAACAAGGAATCAGAGAAGACACTTGCAGCCAAAAGGATCACAAGGTCTCAGTGGGAGGAGTGGAGGTAGAAATTAGGAAAAGACAGGGAGTTAGTACAAAGGGAACTGAAAAGAATTTGAAAACATAAAGAATAAAATGAAGAAAAATAAATTTAACTTTGAGCTGGGCAGAAGAGAAAAAGGAATTTCGTTCAGATGATTACATTGCAAATGTGCTCTACTGCTGCTGTGCTGGATCCACTCACGAACAGAGTTCCATGTTATCCTTGGTTGACTTCTTCAAACCCATGGAGTGAATGAGTGAGGGGAAATTCTCTGTGGATGACCTACTGCACATTTAATAAAATCTTCACTCATAAATGACTCATTTACTTCTGGGGGAACGCACTCTGCGGGCAGGAGCTGGTCACATCCATCTGGCCTGTCCTTGCCTTTTCAGGACAGTGAAGACTGAAGTCGCCCTGAGCACTCGCATTCCCCACGAGAGGTGGTCATTTGCTAAGAACATTCTTGCACATTGCGTGGCCTCTTCAACCAGCTCCAACCTGGGTGCCATACCCGCACTCAGAGACTCTTCATCAGACTTCCCACGGGGAGCGCCCAGGGAACCCGCAGGACCCACGGTTGATGTTCCGTCCTCAGGTGGGTTTCTCCGCAGTCTCC